GTCTCTGACCCTGCCTGTCCTCCGTCTGTCGGGGGTGCTTCTGCCCTTGGTAGTGACGTCCTGGAGGACCGCCAGTTCGAGCTTGCCTTCCTCTCCGAGGCTGCTCCCCATCTCTGTTCCATGCTGCTAGTCCCTGAGGGTGACCCAGACGCTTTTGACATCCCGACCCCTCGCACTTACGCTGAGGCGACCTCGGGACCCTGGGCCTCGCAGTGGATAGCTGCCATGGAGCAGGAGATGGCATCTTGGAGATCCACCGGCACCTTCGTCGACGCAGTTCCCCCTCCTGGGGTGAACGTAGTCGATGGTCGGTGGCTCTTCAAGGTGAAGCGCCCTCCTGGAGAGCCGCCTGTGTTCAAGGCGCGCTATGTGGTTAGAGGCTTCAGTCAGCGTGAGGGGGTGGACTTCTTCCAGACCTTCGCTCCGACCCCGAAGATGACTACTCTTCGGGTTCTGTTACACCTAGCTGCTAAGCGTGACTACGAGCTTCATTCCCTCGACTTCTCCACTGCCTTCCTTCAGGGCAGCCTACACGAGCAGGTCTACCTGCGGCGCCCTCAGAGCTTCACTGGCACCTTCCCTCCTGGGACCCAGTGGCTCCTGCGGCGCCCCGTCTACGGCCTGCGCCAGGCTCCCCGTGAGTGGCACGACACTCTCCGTGCTACGCTTGCTGACCTGCAGTTCTTTCCGTCTTCCACAGACCCTTCCCTCTTCGTTCGTGCTGGCCAGACTCCGTTCTACATCCTTGTTTACGTCGACGACCTGGTCTTTGCCACAGCAGACAGGGACGCACTGGCCTCCGTGAAGGCAGAGCTGCTGAAGAGACACACGTGCACTCACCTTGGAGAACTGCGCCGTTACCTTGGCTTGCAGATCTCCAGGGACAGAGCTGCGCGCACCATCACCCTGACTCAGTCACACTTGGTGCGCCAGGTCCTTCAGAGGTTCAGCCTTCAGTTCTCCTCTGCACAGCCCACCCCTCTGCCTGTAGACCACAGGCTCTCCGCTCCAGTGTCTGAGGAGTTGGTAGAGCCCAGCGGCCCCTACGCAGAGCTGGTGGGTTGCCTCATGTACCTGATGACTTGCACTCGCCCAGATCTCGCATACCCTCTCAGCATCCTGGCTCGTTTTGTGGCCACAGGCAGGCACCGACCGCAGCATTGGTCTGCCGCTAAGAGGGTTCTGCGTTATCTTGCTAGTACATCGGGCATGGGGTTAGTGCTAGGAGGACGCAGGCCAGTGGTCCTTACTGGACACACAGACGCTTCGTGGGCAGACGACGCTGAGACACTCAGGTCTACCCAGGGCTACTGCTTCAGCCTTGGCTCAGGTGCCGTCTCGTGGAGAGCTACTCGCTCCTCGTCTGTGGCGCAGTCCAGCTGTGAGGCTGAGATCTACGCTGGTGCCATGGCGGCACAGGAGCTCCGCTGGCTGACCTTCTTGCTCACTGACTTAGGTGAGCGGCCTAGCTCTGCCCCGGTCCTGTTCGCTGACAACAGGGCCATGATCCTCCTGTGTCAGGAGCCTCGACTCGAGGGCAGAGCGAAGCACATTCAGCTGCGGTACTTCCTCCTGCGTGAGCTACAGCAGCGACGTCAGGCTCGCGTAGTACACTTGGCCTCAGGTGCCAACACGGCTGATATCTTTACGAAGGCGCTTGCGCCTAAAGATCATCAGCGGCACTGTGTACAGCTTGGTCTAGTTCCTGTAGCCTCTCACTTGCTAGGACCTTGACTTTGTACTGTCCTTTATATGTATACTCAGACTGGACTTGTGTCCTCTCCTAATGGCTGGACTAGTAGTGTCGCCCTGCTCTTGTTCTTGCCTTGTCTGTACTCCTTCTGACTGGTCTCTCAGACCCTTGTCTCAGAGGTTGGACTAGTAGTGCCGCCCTGAGCTGCTTGTTTAGGACATTCCCCTATGCAGTCTAGGGGGTGTGTCAAACATGTGTATTTGTCATGTTTGTATAGACTGTATAGGGTAGCCTCTGAGAGGGTACAACACTTAGGTATATCTGTGTGTACCCTCTCTCTAACATCATTCACTTCTTCAATTTCTGTTAGTTCGTTGTATGATTTCATGTTATCTCTCAATAGAATCTATAACAGAGACTAACAGAAGTAAAAAAAAATATAGTATACATAAGATAGACACATTAATGCAACCAATCTTGTCTCAAAATGCTTTTTTTCACAACAAAATAACGTTTACCTTTTTTTTCTAAGTCGCGATAAACTCTATGCTGTGTTTAAAAAATTGATCATAAAATATTGACATAGTGCAATTATGGTTGAAAGGAGCTAAGAAGCTGAGAATGTCGAGAGGTTTTAGCAAGGGTGAAAAGTGAGGAGATACTGTAAAAGATAGTTGGACCAGAAAAGAGAAGGATAGAAGGGTGTTGTACCTTCTACAGTAGGATCCATTGTACGACACCTAACACATACCAAGCATACACAAATATATATATATAATATATATAAATTGATACACTCCCTTAGGCTTGGTAGGCGCTCGCACACCACACACGCAATGCCCCCAAGCCCTTGCACCCCCATGCCCTACAGTAGGTGTGGCTTCTACCCCTCGTGCATTGGCAGCGGGTGGCAGTAACGGCGCCAGCGACGACTTCTACGACGATGACAGCGGCGGCGACAGGTGGCGGCGAAGCCAACGGCACCTGCAGTGGCAGCGGCAGCTTCGTCGACAGCGGCGGCGACTGCGAAGCTCGTGGCACCAGGCGGCGCGGCACGGCCCAGCGACGACCGGGAAGGGAGCCATCAGCTACGGCTGGGATGAGGGGAGACGCAGGGGAGGGGCGTGCCTTCAGCGAGGCGTCGTGGCTGGCGCAGCACTTGCTGGCGTGCGGGCGTGCTGGCTGGCGCCTAAACCAGCACGCTGGCCGCAGCCGTCCGTGCGCTGGGGCACCGAAGCCGCCGTGGCAGCATGACGACGCCACGGTTACGACAACGCCGTCGCGGCAGCGCGGCGAGGCCGCCACGGCTGCTCGACGAGGCCGCTACGCGTGAAGGCCACCGTGACAGGAGGACGTGATAGCCACGGCAGCGCGTCGAAGTCGCCGCGGTAGCGCGGCGAGGCTGCCACGGCTGCTCGACGAGATCGCCGCGGCAGCGAGGCGAAACGAGGTCGCCGCGGCAGCACATGGAGGCCACCACGACGACGCGAAAGTGAAAGGAGAGAAAAAAGTGTTAAAATAAGGTAGCTAGGAGTAGGAGGAAGCCATGGAATGGCGTGACGTTTAGGAAGGAGAAAGTTGAGGAGGGAAAAAGGGGGAAGACTAGAAAGAGAGAGGCATACAAGGAGGGAGTTGTACCCTATACACTAGAGTTCGATAACCCTACCAAGCCTACCAATTATATAACAAAATATATAATTTAACACACCTCCTAGGCTTGGTAGTCACAAGCCCACCCAACACACACACCACCTAACCCCTTACACCCCCATGTTCAAGATCAGCCGGGTATCTACCCCTTGGGCTTGGCATGGTGACATCCCCCGGCGAGAGGCAGCGCGGGCAACGGCCATGGCTGAAGGCTCTCGGCGGTGTGGCACGGCGAGGCGACGACCGGGTAGAAGACAGCAGCTGCGGCAGGAGGAAGAGGAGATGCAGGGGATGGGGGGAGCGCGGGAGGGGGGCGAATCTTCAGCGACGCGTTATAGGTGGCGTGGCGCTTACTAGCGGGAGAGGGCGAATCTTCAGCGAGGCACCACGGCTGGCGCGACGCTTACTGGCGTTCGGGCGTTACGACTGGCGCCTAGGACAGAGTGCTGGCCGCAGCTGCCAGTGCGCTGGCGTGGTGAAGCCGCCACGGCAGCACGACGGCACGGCGGCATGGCGACCCAGCGGCACGGCGTCGCGGCGGCACGGCGACCCAGCGGCACGGCGGCGCGGCGGCACCGTGGCACGGCGGCATCGCGGGACGGCAACAAGGCGGCACTGAGGCACGGTGACGTGACGGGGCCGGGGTGGAGTGACGGGGCCGGCGTGGAGTGACGGGGCCGGCGTGGAGTGACGGAGCCAGCACGGCGTGACGGGGCCAGCGCGGCGTGACGGGGCCAACACGGCGTGACGGGGCCAGCGCGGCGTGACGGGGCCAACGCGGAGGGACGGGGCCGGCGCGGCGTGACGGGGCCGGCGCGGCGTGACGGGGCCAGCGCGGCGGGACGGGGCCAGCGCGGCGTGACGGGGCCAGCGCGGCGGGACGGGGCCAGCGCGGCGGGACGGGGCCAGCGCGGCATGACGGGGTCAGCGCGGCGTGACGGGGGGGGGGGGAGTACGCTGCGGAAGCGTGAGGAGAAGGCCCGAGCGAAAGGGACCTGCTCTGATACCATGTTAAATAGTAGCTAGGAGTAGGAGGAAGCCATGGAATGGCAAGAGGTTTACGAAGGAGAAAATTGAGGAGAGAAAAGGGAGGGAGATTTGGAAGAGAGAGGCATACAAGGAGGGAGTTGTACCCTCTACAGTAGAATTCGATAAACCTACAAAGCCTACCAATTAAAAAAACAAAATATATAATTTAACAGAGAGTACGTGGCGGAAGCGTGAATAGGAGGCTCAGGAGGACCTTCCTGCTGTGAAACCATGTTGAAAGGAGCTAAGAAGCTAGTAAGGCATGAGAATGACGAGAGGTTTTCGCTAGGGAGAAAAGTGAGGAGAGAAAAGAGAGTTGGACTAGAAGATATCCATTGTAGGACACCTAACACCTACCAAGCCTATACAAATATATATAAATAGTATATAAGTTGACAATTAAGCTATGCATTCATGTTGAATCATTCAGCTTGAATGAAGTGTTGCACATTTATACTTAATTGAAGGCATGACAACCTACATAGAACCCCGTTAGAGCACCACACAGACATCTGAGGCCAAGGGACGGCCGCGAAGTACCACGAGCGGTAACCGCTCAAGACGAAGTCGTTGGCGAGAGTTGTCTCCCTTATCCTCAGAAGCTTGGTTTCATCTCATTCCTGACACTTTCAGATCCCTGCAACCACACAGTAGCCATGGCTGCTTGCCCTAAAAACCTTGTCATGGCTGGTTGCTCCTCGCCGTAATGCACGCTGTAGGACGTATTAGCGGTTTAGTCTATGGGAAAGGAGGCTGTCATGATAGCGGTCGTGAGGTCTCGGTGCTACGGCGTGGGAGGCGGTGATGATGTTTTCTCTTGGCTCGGCTGTCTCCGTTCAGATACGCCGCCTGGTGCAGGGGATCACCGATAGCAACCATAAGGCCGTCGTTTCTGAGCTTAGTCAGGTAGGCCTTTCGATTGCCAACGTTGTGCTTTTCAGTTTTCAGCAACATCGTTTTATCTAGGGAAAGAATAGGGTTAAGCCGTGTGCTTTCAGATTTCAGCAACATCATTCTATCGAGGGGAAATATAGGGTTAAGACGTGACTATACCTTACACCGACCTGCTGTGTGCCTTTTCTGGGTTTTCCAGCTTGCAGAGGTCGCGGGAGACGAGGCGAATCAGCTTATTCTTCGTTCCTGCCTGGGCGTTCTCTTTAGCGACGACCAAGGCGGCGATCAAAGCGTGGAATTAAAGCATCACCTCTTAGCATCCGTACTAGAGTGCTTTTCCTGTAGATCGGATTTCCCGACAACCGTAGCTCTAGCTTTAGGACATTTCTCGGAGCCTTACAAGGGTTTCTTGAAGATCTCTCTAGCGATTATCAATCTCCCGGTCGCTGTTCAGCTCCGCTTAGGCGTTGGTCTTGCTGACGTGGGTTTTCCGTTTTGGAAGGAGGAAGGTGAGAATTATAGCTCTCGCCAGCGATTTTGCCGCTGTTTTTTTTTTTTTTTGCTAAGTCTTTGTCTCCTTCGGATTTGTTTCGCCGATAACTCCGTCGTTTCGCTGATTGCTGTTTTTTTTTTTTTTTTTTCGTGCAGCTCTTGACCTGATCGACTGCGTGATTGGCGGATTGCCTGAAAGCGAAGTTTCCGCATTGCAAGGCGATTTGTTCTGGAGCGTGTTTCTGACGTGCTCGTCGTATCCGAAGCTCAAGGAGCACTGCCTTATCTTGGAGGAATCGCTCTGCTGGCGGCTTAGCAGAGACCCATTCCCGATCTACCTCCTTCCGTTCCTAGGAAAAGGCAGTCCACTCGGGAAGGATTTCAGGTAAACTTCCTTAACATCTGGCGTTTCTGCTGGAAACAATTTTTCATTTTCAAGCTATTCTGTTACGCTAACTGTAACCACGTCGTCGCTTGTTCGCGACTTTCTCCCTTTTTTTTCGCAGTGACCTGCCTCGGGATTGGTCTTCCTTCGTAAACTCCATCATGGCATCCTCTTCTGGTTCGGGTTCGGGTTCGGGTTTGGGTTCCGGTTCGGGTTCCAAGGCGAGGGACATGGCATCGGCGATGGAGGAGCTAGGGTTTGGCTGCACGGACACGGTGGAGCGGTGCAGAGCGGTGCTGAAGGAGCACAGCGGGAACGGCATCAGTGAGGCGGATGTGGCGCGGATTTTGGGGGTGGTCGCTAAGGGATCGATGGAGACCCGCGGTGGTGCTGGCTCTGGGCCGCTCACGTTTTGGAATGTAGACGTGCTGGTTGAAGCCATCTTACAGCTGGTGGGTGCCTCGCATGTGTCTCCCTCACACACACACACTCTCTCTCTCTCACTCATGCGGATGTGGCGTGGGTCTTGGGGGTGGTAGCTAAGGGGTCGGTGGAGAAACGTGGGGGTGGGGGTGGTGCTGGCCCGCTCACGTTCTGGAACGTGGACGTGCTGGTCGAAGCGATCTTGCAGCTGGTGGGTGTTCCGCATGTCCTTCCCCCTCCCTCTCCCCTCCCCCCGCCCCAACCTCCCCCTCCCCGCCCCCCCCCCTCTGCTCTCTCGCTCTCGCTCGTTCTTGTGTCCGTTTCTCCTTTTTTGTTCTATGATTTTCTCTTCCTGTCGAGCTGGTCGTCGGTGATCAGTCATCTGGACCGGGGTCTCCCCGCACATGGCTTATGAATGCATATCCCGTAACACCCGTTTCACTCCCCCTATCGTGCGTCCCGGCAACAGGCGCCGAGGCTGAGCTGGTCGTCGGTGATCAACCACCTGGACTACCCGGGCTTCCTCGTTAAGGACCACAAGGGCTTCAGCTCGCTCGTGCTCATGCACGCCAAGGCCACCAAGGTAAGTGCTATTGCTTTTGAGTCGACTCAAAAAGTATATTGTCAATGTAAAAACCGCGTGTAATGAGTCTGCTTTTGAGTCGACTCAAAAGCGCGCTCGTGCTCATGCACGCCAAGGCCACCAAGGTAAGTGCTATTGTGCTCCGCGGCTATTAACGGCCGTGCATTCTGCTTCCTCGTGAAGGACCACAAGGGCTTCAGCGCGCTCGTGCTCGTGCACGCCAAGGCCACCAAGGTAAGTGCTATTGTGCTCCTCGGTAGTTACGGCAGAGCTCATGCACTCCAAGGCAACCAAGGTAACGGCGCGTGTTCGTGATTCACGGATATCCGAGGTAGACGCTCCGTGCATTCCGAAGCCACCAAGGTAAAAACTATGTGCGCCCCACGGCTATTAAAGGTCGTGCATTCCGCCTCCGCAACTCTCGTTCCTCCACCACTTTCTGAAGCACCTCAGAATAAGTTTGTCCGCCCGTCACCTCTCACTTGTAGTATCCACCCGTGGCCCCATTGCGCTATAACATGAGCTCTTCCCCCTTCGGCCAGCGTGCGGCAAGCTGTGGGTTAACACGGAGGGTCAATTCCCCTTCCTACGCCTCGATTTGAGGCGCCTTAGAACACCTCCCTTTCGTACCCTCCCTTCGTGGTTGCCCCCATAACAGGAGCTCTTCCCCCTGCCCCGTGTGCGGCAAGCTGTGGGCCAACACAGAGGGACAGCTCTCCTTCCTCCGCCTCGCTTTGAAGCACCTGAGAACACGTCCCGTTCGTACCCTCCTTTCTCTTGACTTACCCTATCGGAGGAGCTCTTCACCCTTCCCCCCCCGTGTGCGGCAAGCTGTGGGCCAACACAGACGGCAGCTCTCCTCTCCTTCCTCCGCCTCGTTTTGAGGCGCCTTATAACACGTCCCTTCCGTGCCCTCCCTTCTCTTGACTGCCCCTGTGCCCCCACCGCAGGAGCTCTTCCCCCTGGCCCCCGTGTGCGGCAAGCTGTGGGCCAACACGGAAGGGCAGCTCTCCTCCTTCCTCCGACTCGCTTTGAGGCGCCTGAGAACACCGTCGTTCCTACCCTCCCTTCGCTTGACTGCCCCCACCACAGGAGCTCTTCCCCCTGGCCCCCGTGTGCGGCAAGCTGTGGGCCAACACGGAAGGACAACTCTCCTTCCTCCGCCATGCCGTCTCCGCGCCCCCCGAGGTCTTCACCTTCGCGCATTCCGCCCGCCAAACGCCCCCCATGGACAACCTCCACGGCCACAAGCTCCCCACCGGCACGCCCAACTGCGCGTGGGTCTCCCTAGACCTCCTAGAGGTTCTCTGCAGGATAGGGGAGACTGGGCGGAAGGCAGAGGTGCTGGAGGTGCTGGTGTACCCCATAAAGCACTGCCCGGAGGTGCTTATAGTGGGTCTCGCGCAGGTGAAGACGCCCGGCGGGGGTGTGATTCAAAGGGAGGTGCTCGGCGCGCTGGTGCCGCTGTATCTGGCGAATAACCCGAACTCGAGCATTGTGCTGCATGCGCTGTGGGCGGGGAGCAAGGAGGTGGTGATGCAGGCGATGGTGGGCGTGCATGCCAGCGACCCCACCACTGTGGCGCGCCTGCTCGACGTGTGCCAGGACCTCAAGGTGAGGGAGAGAATGGCCCGGGGGGTTTAAGGTAAATTAGGGAGCAAAGGGACCAGCGGTTCAGGGGGAATTCGAGCATAGTGCTGCATGTGCTGTGGGCGGGAGCGAGGAGGTGGTGATGCCGGCGATGGTGGGCGTGCATACCAGCGACCCCACCACTGTGGCGCGCCTGCTCGACGTGTGCCAGGACCTCAAGGTGAGGGAGGGATTGAATCTCAAGGTATGGGAGAGGAGGAACTAGTCGTTTGTAGAGGCTGAGCCAGGGTTTTATGGTGCATTGGAGTTCGCCTCTCGTTTTGAAGCTCCTTGGAGCCAATATTGTTTTCATCATTAGGTGATTCGCAGGTTCTCTCTGTGGTGCTGGAGAGCACGCCCTTCTCCTTCTCCCTGAACCTTGCGGCACTAGCCTTGCTAATAATATTTTCCTGGTCCGTTGGTTCGCAGGTTCTCTCTGTGGTGCTGGAGAGCACGCCCTTCTCCTTCTCGCTGGACCTCGCCTCGCTTGCCTCGCGCCGGGAGTACCTGAACCTCGAGAAGTGGCTGCAGGAGACGCTCACTCTGCACCGCGACTCGCTCTTCAAGGTGCGCCGCGGGGGGGGGAGGTATTGCAGTAAGTTATTCACTAGACGTTGCTTTCTTCCCCCCCCCCCCCGCCTCGCGCCGGGAGTACCTGAACTTCGAGAAGTGGCTGCAGGAGGCGCTCACGCTGCACAGAGACTCCCTCTTCAAGGTGAGCAATCTGCGCCGGCTGTGCTGTTAGTTCTTGCTTGAAATAGGCGCGAATGATGTTTCCTTCACGACGAGCTTACTCTCATCTCCCTCTCTCTCTCTCCCCCCCTCCCCCTCTCCCGCCCCCCCCCAAAACTCTCTCCACCTCTCAGCGTCTTTGCCCTGGAGGCCGGCCTGCAGTTTCTGAGGCCCAAGCTGCTGCAGGATAGTCAGGAGGAGGCCGGCTCACAGGGAATCAACCTGTTTAGCTCTTGTTGGGCTCAAACCTTTTGCCCCCCCCCCCTCTCTCTTACTTCCCTGCCGCTATGCTTTTTTTGCCTCTTTGCCCAACAGGCCTGTCTGCAGTTCCTGAGGGCCAAGCTGCTGCAGGACAGCCAGGAGGCCGGCGCTCAGAGAGTCAACCTGTTCACCTCTTGAGAGGCTCAAACCTTTGGTTCCCTGCTCTCTCTTACCTCCCTGCCTCTCTGCTTCTTTTGCCTCTTTGCCCTGCAGGCCTGCCTGCAGTTTCTGAGGGCCAAGCTGCTGCAGGACAGCCAGGAGGCCGGCGCTCAGAGAGTCAACCTGTCACTTGAAACGCTCGCCATCTTCTTCAAGGCAAGCTACCTCTGTTAAAATGTTAAGGTTACAATCACCCGACAGGCCGACATTTTTTTAGCAGCGCACTAACAAAGCATCGCTCTCAAAAAGCAGCGCTCAGAGAGTCAGCCTGTCGCTGGAAATGCTCGCCATCTTCTTCAAGCCAGGCTACCTCTGCTGCTCTTAAAGTTGACTCAAAAGCCACCTCGTTACAGTTACCATGTCACACAACATTGTTCGATGATTCGACTCCAAAAGTAGCACTCAGCGAGTCAACCTGTTGCTGGAAACGCCCGCGATATTCTTCAAGGCAGGCTACCTCAGCTGCTCCCTCGTGCGCAGTGTAACTAGCCAACCCGTTTCCCCGCCATTTGGATGCTGCATTGGTTTCTTTCAGCCAGCCTGACGGCAAGGCGTTCTACGTGTCGCCCCTGCAGAACGTGGCTGTGCCGGAGCAGGCGCCTGCGGACGTGTTTGCAAGCGACATAGAGGAGGAGGCGAACCCATACTCGTTTTACTCAACTGTTTCCCCCTCCTGGTCTGTGCCTGTGCCCCCCGCGCCCCTCCTCCTCCTGTGCCCTCCTTTCCTCCCCAGGTCCTCCAAGCCAACGCACCACAGCTGCAGGCGCCAGAACTAAGTGAAGAGCTCAATGCGTTATACGCGTCAGCCCGGCAGCTGCACCCGGCGCTGCAGAACGTGGCGGTGCCCGAGCAAGCTCTGCATAGACTCAGAAATCTATTTTTGAGGCGCCTCAAAAACAGGCTCTGCGTAGACTCAGAAATTCCCCCTCCCCGTTTCTTCCCCCCCCCCCCCCTCTACCCCCCCTCCTCCCCCCCCCTCTTCCCCTGCTCCCTCGTTCCCGATCTTTCTTGCCACATTACTCCAGGTCCTCCAAGCCAACGCGCCACAGCTGCAGGCGCCCGAACTGGCTGAGGAGCTCAAGGCGCTCTACGCGTCCGCGTTACAGCTGCACCCGGCGCTGCAGAATGTGGCTGTGCCTGAGCAGGCGCCTGCAGACGTGTTTGCGAGCGACATAGAGGAGGAGGCGAACGCGTACTTCCAGAAGATCTATGTTGGGCAGCTGAGCATTGAGGAGGTGGTGGAAATGCTCAAGAGATTTAATGGGTCGTCTGTGCAAAGGTGTGTGAAAAGGTTGGTTTGGGTCCCTGGGATAGAATAGGGCGCCACGGCGCACCCTCCTGGAATGACGAGGAGGTGAACGGGCACCCCTGCTGGGAGGGAGAGGTGAATGGGCACTCTCCGTAGGTGAATGGGTCCATATGAGTCGACTCAAAAATCACCAGAGGTGAATGGGCACTCTCCTGGAAGGAGGAGGCGAACGCATACTTCCAGAAGATCTATGTGGGGCAGCTGAACATCGAGGAGGTGGTTGACATGCTCAAGCGGTTCAACGGCTCCTCCGTGCAAGGGTGGGTAGCTGAGGATTTCCGGAGGTGCAGTGGTTTTGCACCCTCTGTTCGTGCCTCCCTTGCTCGCAGACAGCAGGATGAGTTCTCGCCTGCTTGACTCATACCTCTTTGAGGGGCCACGTTGTGTTTTGGGCGTCTCACTCACCTGCCTCGCCTTTTCCCCTCCCTCCGTCTCTGCCTCCTCTTTTTTCTGCTTTGCTATACTGTGCTTGCAGGGAGCAGGACGTGTTTGCGTGCATGATTCAGAGCCTCTTTGACGAGTACCGCTCAAAACCCCTTCTATCTCCCCCTCCCCCCCCTCGTTGCAAACTCAATTGCTGTGCTGTTCTGGCAGGGAGCAGGATGTGTTTGCGTGCATGATTCAGAGCCTCTTTGACGAGTACCGCTTCTTCCCCCGCTACCCTGACAAGGAGCTCCGCATCACTGCTGTGCTCTTCGGTGAGTTGCCGTTTCCTGCTAATCCTGCTGGGTTGCGTTCGCTTCTGGGTCGACTTAAAAGCCACTTCGTCTTCCCCCGCTACCCTGACAAGGAGCTCCGCATCACTGCTGTGCTTTTCGATGAGTGGTGTCTTCGCATCACTCCCTGTCCATCTGTGGGTTTGCCTTCTCGTGTAAGTTGACTTACCAACCACTTGGTCTTCCGCTACCCTGACAAGGAGCTCCGCATCACTGCCGTGCTCTTCGGTGAGTTGCCCTATTGCTTTTGTAAAACCATTGGGAGTTGCTTCTTCCTGTTAGTCTATTCAAAAGCCTATATCTTTTGATTCCCAGGTTTCCTGGTGAAGCACCAGCCGGTGTCGTCCATCACGCTGGGCATCGCCCTGAGCTGCGTGCTAGAGGTTCCGGGATCTCACCCCTTTACCCTGCCCCTTGTTCTCTCCTCCGCCCCCTCCCCTCCCCCCCCCCTCTCTCCCCTCCCGCCTTCCCCCTCCCCTCCTCGTCTCCCAGGCTCCCTGGTGGAGCATCAGCTGGTCTGCTCCATCACGCTGGGCATCGCCCTGCGCTGCGTGCTGGACGCTTTGAAGAAGCCCCCCGACTCCAAGATGTTCTCCTTGGGCATCATGGCCTGGAGCAGTTCCACCACCGCCTCGCCGAGTGGCCGCCCTACTCTCTCCTTACCTTGCCTTTTCTTCCCTCCTCTCCCCCGCCCTCCCTTTTTCCTCCCACTTCCCTCCGCTCGCCTGCTTCCCTCTTCCTGTCCAATCTCCCAGGCTCCCTGGTGAAGCACCAGCTGGTCTCCTCTATCACGCTGGGCATCGCCCTGCGCTGCGTGCTGGACGCGCTAAAGAAGCCCCCCGACTCCAAGATGTTCTCCTTTGGCGTCACGGCTTTGGAGCAGTTCCACCACCGCCTCGCCGAGTGGCCGCCCTACTGCAGCCACATCCAGCACATCCCGCACCTGCAGGAGGTGCACCCGCGCCTGTACGCGTTAGTGCAGGCTGCAGCAGCGGCGCCGGTCAGCAAGGGCGTGGCTGGGGAAGGTGTATCTGGTGCGGGTTCGGCTGGTGGTGGTGGCGGTGGTGCTGCTGCTGGTACTGGTGCTGGGGGGATGGTGGGGGCTAGTGGGGGGGTGTTGGTGGGAGTGAGAAAGCGGGTGCAGGAGGGAATGGCGAGGGTGGGGGTGGAATTAGTGGTCCTGCTGCTGTTAGTAGTGCTGCTGCCGCTGGTGCTGCTGGTGCAGCTGCTGCTGCTGGTGCTGCTGGTGGTGTTTCTGTTGCGGCTGCTGGGGCTGTTGGTGCTAGTGCTGCTGCTGGTGGGGGAGGAGGAGCAGTGGATGGTGCAGCTGTAACCGGTGTAGGTGACAAGGGGAAGGGTGCCCCTGGTGGCGGCGATACTGGGGCGATGGGACCTCAAGGAGAGGCTGGGAAGACAGCAGAAGGCGTGGCAGGAAAGGGACAAGGGGAGGCGAAGGATGGTGCTGGTGGGGTGCCGCAGGGGCAGGGACCGGCGGCTCAGGGGAAAGCGGACGCGGAGAAGCAGGGCGAGAAGCAGGGGGAGAAGCAGACGGAGAAGCCGGGGGAGAAGCAGGACGGGGTTGTTGGAGGGAAGGCAGAAGTGGTTGGTACAATGCAAGCATCCGTGCAGAGCCCTGCTAAGGACTCCATCATTCTGAAGGTGCGAGTGACGGAATATTTTTGCCTTGTATTCGTCCCTGCACGCTCGTGACAGCGCAAGCATCCGTGACCGTGCAGAGCCCTGCGAAGGACTCCATCATTCTCAAGGTGCGACAATGATTTTGCAGGGTATTGTTGAGAATTCTAAATAACATAGAGCCCTGCTAAGGACTCCTCCGTCATTCTGAAGGTGCGAGCGACTGGGTTCTTTGGCCTTGTTCCCTTCCCTGCGCGCGCATGCCTAGTTTCATCCACGCACAGCGTTGCCACTTGCTGTTCAGCGGCTTTTTCAAGCCACGTCTTTTCCTACCCGCTGGTTCACTCGTTTCAAGTCCACTGATGCTCCCTCCTCTCCTCCCTCTCTCCTCCCTCTCCCTGCTCGCAGTCGACTAGCAGTGCCTTGGAGGATCAGGAGCCTCGCAGAAGCTGGAGGCACTGCGGCCTTGAGGAGCTTCTGGCTAATTGGTCTTACATTGCCTGAGCCTGAGTTGACTAACCCAAGACCAATTAGCCAGAAGCTCCTTTCCCTTTTTCCACTCCTCCTTTCCTTTTTCCACCCTCTCCTCTCCCTTCCCTCCACAGTCCACGGGTGTTGCCTTGGCGCCAGTGGGAGGATCAGGAGGCTCGCAGAAGCTGGAGGCTTTGCAGCCACGAGGGGCTTGGTGCTTATCGGTCAAGCATAGACTGACTCAAACAACGCCTCCTCCTTTCCTTTGTTCCCCTCCCACTCTTCTGCTCTCCCTAGTCTCAGTCCACGGGTGGTGCCTTGGCACCAGTGGGAGGATCAGGAAGCTCGCAGAAGCGGGAGGCTCTGTGCCCTCGAGGGGCCTCTGGCGAGCTGGTCTTACATAGCTTGAGTCAAACAACCTTATTTCCTCCCTCTCCGCGTCTCCCTACTCTCAGAATCAGTCCACCGGCGGTGCCTTGGCGCCTGTGGGAGGGTCGGGAGGCTCACAGAAGCTGGAGGCTCTGCGGCCTCGAGGGGCTTCAGGCTCGGGCGTTTCAACCAGAGCGCCGGCTGCTGGGTTCGGCCATGCGCTCAACATCGAAACGCTCATGGCTGCTGCAGAGAAGCGGGACAGCCCCATTGAGGTGAGCTGCGTTGAGATGAGCTGCGCTGAGGCGAGCCCAATTGAGGTGAGATTGACTGGGGAATAGGCGTGCTCTGCTTATGGCTGCTGCAGAGAAGCGCGAGAGCCCCATTGAGGCGAGCCCCGTTGAGGTGAGCCCCATTGAGGTGAGGCATCCGACGCCCAGGACAAGGTGGCGTTCATCATCAACAACATTGCTGCAGCTATGCCCTCACATTCCTTCCACTGTCCTCACATTCCTCCCTGCAACTCTCCAGATGCCATCATCGGACGCCCAGGACAAGGTGGCGTTCATCATCAACAACATTGCTGCAGCTATGCCCTCACATTCCTTCCACTGTCCTCACATTCCTCCCTGTAACTCTCCAGATGCCGTCATCGGACGCCCAGGACAAGGTGGCGTTTATCATCAACAACATCGCGGCGGCCAATCTGGACCAGAAGGCGAAGGAAATCCACGAGGTGCTCAAGGAGCCCTTCTTCCCCTGGTTCGCGCAGTACCTCGTCATGAAGAGGTCAGTCCTGGCATAACGGGCTGTTGCAGTTGTCAAGGGTCGGCTCTCTCTCAGTATCTCGTCAAGAGGTCAGTCCCACAAGCAGTTCCTCGTCATGAAGAGGTCAGTCCCACAAGCAGTTCCTCGTCATGAAGAGGTCAGTCCCACAAGCAGTTCCTCGTCATGAAGAGGTACGCTCTCTTCCTTACTCCCCTCCCCCTGGTTACTACCGTGTTGTTCTGCTTTTAGAGTAAGCTCTCTTTGGTTCTACAAAAAACCCCTCGTTCTCCCCTGCCTTTGTGCGTGTGTTGGCATCAGAGCGAGCATAGAGCCCAACTTCCACGAGCTCTACCTCAAGTTTGTGGATAAGATGGCAGCTAAGGCGCTGCAGAAGGAGGTGGTGAAGGCCACGTACGAGAACTGCAGGGTGAGTGTTTGCCTGAATTGACTGATTGGAACTGCAGCTTCCTTCGTCCGTATGGTGGGTGGTGGTGGTGCTTGTTACTTGTTGGCCAAGGCGCTGCGGAAAGAGGTGGTTAAGGCCACTGACGAGAACTGCAAGGTGAGAATTTGCCCGAATGCGCTGCTGGAGAGTGGTGCCGCCTTGCTTGTTTGGTTGAGCTTGCGTTTTGTGCCTTGCTTGTGATCAAGGCGCTGCAAAGGAGGTGGTCAAGGCCACATAGGAGAACTGCAAGGTGGACTGGACATTTGCCTGAATGCGGATGAGAATCAGTGCCTCTTTGCTCATCTGTTTGTGTGCCCGCTTGTTGTTCTGGCCTGAGCTGATTCGGTCGAGCAGTGAGGAGCGCTCGCTGCTGAAGAACTTCGGCAGCTAGGTCAACTAACTCACTCTACCCCTCTCCCCTCTTCCCCCTCACACCGTTGCAACCATCCCATGCAGGTGCTGCTCCGTTCAGAGCTGATTCGGTCGAGCAGTGAGGAGCGCTCGCTGCTGAAGAACATCGGCAGCTGGCTGGGCCGACTCACTATCGGCAGGAACCAGCCTCTGCGGGCGAACCAGATCAACCCAAAGAACCTGATAATTGAGGTGGGTGTGGTGGACTTTTGACTGGTGGGTGGGGATGTGAGTGGGGATGTGGATGCTAGTTGAGAGCTGGCTGGGCCGACAACTCACCATTGGCAGCTGGCCCGGCCGACTCACCATCGGCAGGAACCAGCCGCTGCGGGCCAACCAGATCAACCTGAAGAACCTGATCATCGAGGTAAGTGTGGTGTGGTGCATGGTGTGCGAGGGTGGGATGGGATGGGGTGCGTGTGTGAGAAGAAGAGGAAACGGGGGCGAGGCGTGGGGGAGGGGGGAGAGTGCTAAGTGGTTGGCATTAAAGTGGGTAAGAGGTAGGGATAGCACCAATTTGATCATATTCCTCCGTTACCTTCAGATCGGGGGCTTTTTTCTTCTTCTTTTTCTGATGGAAGTGATTTTGTCTGTTGTGCTCCTTTTCATGCCCCCCCCCCCCCCCCCTTTTCCTCATTACCCTCTGCTCCTTCCTCCTACCAGGCGTACGAGAAGGGGCTCATGATTGCCATCATTCCCTTCACTTCCAAGGTGAGATCCCTTCACTTCCAAGGTGAGATCCCTTCACTTCCAAGGTGAGTTCCCTTCATCTTCCCTTAGAGCACCAAGTGGGCGCCGCCATGGCATGGTGTGTCCAGGTGACTTTGAGTCGACTCAAAAGGCACCTCGCTCGTTACATGATTGCCATCATTCCCTTAACCTCCAAGGTTAGTTCCGCCGCCCCTCCCGGCTCTTTTGTCGTTCCCTTCTTCCTGACGCACCTCCACACCCCCTCCCCTCCGCTTCCCCTTTTGAACACACACGCGGACTCACTTCCTCTTGTTGATTCGCTCCTTTCACATGGTTAGTTAGAAGGGTCCGTTTGGTTCCTCTTTGCCTCTTGCCCTCTTTTTGCTTCCGACTTGTTTTTCACGGCAGATTCTGGAGCCCTGTGCTAGCAGTGTAATCTACCAGCCGCCCAACCCAACCCCTGGACCGTGGGCATTCTGGGGCTTCTGGTTTATATCTGATGCGCCTTACAACTCTGTTCTTCTCTTATGTTTTATTTTATGCGGCAGATTCTGGAGCCCTGTGCCAGCAGTGTAATCTACCAGCCGCCCAACCCCTGGACCGTGGGCATTCTGGGGCTGCTGGTGGAAATCTACAGCCTTCCCAATCTCAAGCTCAACCTCAAGTTCGACATCGAGGTATGATCCGCGGGGACGGGGAACTGGACCCTCGCCAGATGGAAGCTGAATCTCGAGTTGGCATCGAGTACGATTTCCCCTCTGTTGTTCCATTTGACGAGAATATCACCTGGTGGAGATTTACGGCCTCCCTAACCTTAAAGCGAGGGTCTCGAGAAGCAAAAAACCAAACCCAAAGGTTTTGGTTTCGGGGGATCTCGAAAATTGCGAGGTGTGGTGAGGGGTGCTAGTTGGGCGCTGTTACTGTTTCGCTAATTTCGTCAACCCAAAAAACCAAACCTCTTGGATTTGGCTTTTTGCTTCTCGAGACCCTCGCTTTAAGCACTGCCTCAGGTTGAGGCACGGCTTGCCATTGAGGCACGGCTTGTTCCTGCGTTTGACTCAATTCAGAATTTCAGAGTACACGTTTTGTTCCTTTTTTTGCTGATCGAGCAGGCTTTTCTAGGTCTCGTTTTTGCTTGGTTTTCACACACCACAATCTTGTAACGGGTGTGTGTGCCCCCCCCCTCCTCCTCCCCCTCCCTCCCCCCCGTGCCATCGTTGTCACCCGTCTACCTTCTTCCCGGTCGTTCTCACCTCTGCAGGTGCTCTTCAAGAACCTGAGCATTGAGATGAAAGACGTGAAGCCGTCTCAACTGCTGGTGGGGCGGCAGAGGGAGATAGAGGGCAACCCGGACTTCTCAAACAAGGACCTTCTGGCGGCTCACCTTTCTGCTGCTGCAGGGGCAGCGGGGGCAGGGGGATCAGCAGGGTCGGGAACAGGCTCCCCTCAGCCGCTTGTGCGGTCTGCTGTTGCTTCGCCTGAGCCGCCTGGGCCTGCAGCTAGAGGGGCGCAGGGGGTGGCTGGTGGGGAGAGGAAGGGTGAGCAGCAGGTGTCTCAGTTTCAGCAGCAGCAGCAGCAGCAGCAGCAGCAACAGCAGCAGCAGCAGCAACAGCAACAGCAGCAGCAGTTGCAACAGCAGCAGCAACAGCAGCAACAGCAACAGCAACAGCAACAGCAGCAACAGCAGCAGCAGCAGCAGCAGCAGCAGCAGCAACAGCAACAGCAACAGCAACAGCAGCAGCAACAGCAGCAGCAGCAGCAACAGGAGCAGCAGCAGATGTCGATGCAGCAGCAGCAGCAGCAATCCCCGCCGCCCCAGTTGCAGAACCAGCAGCAGCAGCAGCAGCAGCAGTTGTTGCTGCAGCAGCCGCAGCAAGCTGGGGCCAAGGCCGCTGCTCCGGTATGGTTCAGCTGCGTTTCCTGCCTTGTTCTCAGCTTTCTCCTTTGGTTCTCCCCCAACTCCCCCTCCTCCCCCCCACCCGCCTTCCCCTCCTGGCCCCATCCTCCCCTTCTCCCCCCCCCCTCCCCCCGCCCTCCTCTGTGTCCTTTCATCTTTTGCACGTGTCTCTTTTTTTCAGCCTTCCTGCGTTCCTTGTTGTTTTCTGCTTCTTTAAGCTCCTCAACGACATTTACCCTCCCCCCAAACCCCCCTCCCCCCCTCCACCCCCCACACACCCACCACCATCACCAACACCACCTCCCCCCCCTCCACCCCCCCACACACCCACCACCATCACCAACACCACCTCCCCCCCCTCCACCTCCCCAACTCCCTTCCCCCCCCAAGCCAGAGGAGATTTTTGAGAATTCTCAAAAGCACCACCTCCCCCTCCTCCACATCCCCTACTCCCTCCCCCCCCAGGCTGGGGTATCGCTGCCTAACCTCGCTTCTTACATCGTCATCAACCCCAAGCTCGCCCCTGTGGCGCAGCAGCTGCAGCTCGCAAGGTGAGAGCCTTGTGGGAATATCTTCTTGACCCTTCTTGCTTCTTCTTGACCCTTCTTGCTTCTTCTTTACCCCGCCCTCTTCCCCTCCCTTCTCCCTGCTGCCCATGCTCCTTAGCTCCCTCCGTTTCCCTATGCTTCCCTTGTCCCCCGAACCATCTGTGGACCTGCTGTTTGCCCCTGTGCCCTTCTCACCCATGTTTACCCGGTTGGCCCTACTTCCTTTGTTCCTTCAAAGTGGTGCCAGCATGCATGGACCGGGCGGTGAGGGAGATGGTGTCACCCGTGGTGAAGAGATGGTGTCACCCGTGGTGAAGAGATGGTGTCACCCGTGGTGAAGAGATGGTGTCACCCGTGCAGCATAGTTGACTGAAGGGCTCTCTCTGCCAAACCCCCCGTCCTTCCTCCAGGGTGGTGCCAGCATGCATGGACCGGGCAGTGAGGGAGATCGTGTCGCCCGTGGTTGAGAGGAGCTGCAGCATTGCCTGCATGACCACTCGCGAGCTGGTGCTCAAGGTGAGTGAGTAATAGCCGTGACATGATGGCGCTTTTACAATGAATCGCCTCACCTCACCATATGGCCCCACATGGAGCTGCAGCATTGCCTGCATGACCTCTCGCGCTGGTGCTTGAGGTGAGTAGTGTGCATGCTGCAAGTGGGGTATTAGGAGTCTCTTTTTGAGGCGCCTCAAAAATAGACTCCTCTCGCGCTGGTGCTTGAGGTGAGCAGGGTGCATGCTGCAAGTGGGGTATTAGCATGTCAAAAGACACTGCCTCTCAGTTCACGGCTTTCTGGGAGTGAAACATCGTTCTATTGCACCTCACCACATGCTTTTGAGTCGACTCAAAAGCGCCCTCAAGTGCGTCAGCTGCATTGCCTGCACGAACATGGTTAAGTAGTTTAGTTTTGAGACGTCTCAAAACTCAGCACATTTCCTCAAGTGGGTCAGCAGCATTGCCTCGCTCATGCCCGAATTGCTGCTCGGGGCAGGCTAATTTGCAAGAGGCCGTCTCAATGTGACTCAAAGATCCCTTGCCTGTGCGCTTAGCCCCGCTCCCTCTGCCCCATGCGGCCATTCCCCCTTCCCTGTCCCCCCTTCCCCTCACCTGAGCAGGACTAAGCAATCGAGGCGGACAACAGCTGCAAGCAGAAAGCAGCCAACCTCATGGTGGCAAGCCCAGACGGCAGCCTGGCGCTCCTCGCGTGCAAGGAGCCCCTGCGTGTGGCCATGGCGAACCACCGGCTTTTGCCCCATGTCACCGCATGCCCCCCATGTGTCCTGCCGCTTTCCTTGTGCGCAGGACTTTGCAATGGAGGCGGATGACAGCCGCACGCAGAAGGCAGCCAACCTCATGGTGGCGAGCCTAGCCGGCAGTCTGGCGCTGGTGACGTGTAAGGAGCCCCTGCGAGTGGCCATGGCGAACCACCTGAGAACGCTCCTGCAGGCGGCGCTGGCAGGAGCAGAGCTGGAGCAGGTGGCGCAGCTGCTGGTCAGCGACAACCTCGACCTGGGCTGTGCCGTCATTGAGAAGGCCGCCAGTGAGAAGGTGAGAAGAGTGTGGAGGGTAGGAAGGGGGGTAGGTAGAAGGTAGAAGAGATTCTAGGGCAAAATCAACAGTTGTTGGCAGGAGCTGAGATGGAGCAGGTGGCGCAGTTGCTGGTCAGGGATAACCTCGACCTGGGGTGTGCCGTCATTGAGAAAGCCGCCAGTGAGAAGGTGAGTGGAGTTTCAATCAGAGGGTAGACAAGAAGGTAGAAGGGAGACAATAAAGTTGAGTTAAAAGTGTCTGGCGGTGCTGCTGGTCTGTGCCCAGGTCAGGTCAGTGATATTCCCGACCTGGGCTGTGCTGTCAGCGGGTGGCGCTGGGAGCTGCTTACTAGTTCTATGACATGAAATGTGAGATCTGGTTCTCCCCCTATTTCCCCCCTCTACCCACCCGAATCACAGGCTGTGCGGGACCTAGAGGAGGTGCTGGGCCCTGCTCTCGCGATGCGGTGCAAGCAGAGGGAGGCGCTGGGAGCTGCTTACTACAACAATGCGGTGTGGGACCTGAGATCTGATTCGCCCCCTTGTTTTCCTCTGCTCACCCAAATCACAGGCCGTGCGGGACCTAGAGGAGGTGCTGGGCCCCGCTCTCGCCATGCGGCGCAAGCAGAGGGAGGCCTTGGGAGCAGCCTACTACGACGCGTCCATCTACTCGCAGGGCAACCTCGCCCGCATCCCAGAGGCTCTCAGACCCAAACCCGGGCGCCTGACGATGGTGCAGCAGAGGATCTACGAGGACTTTGCACACCTGCCGTGGCAGGGGCAGGTGCCCCAGGCCGGTGCTGCTGCTGCAGCTGCCGCGCTGGGTGCTGCCGGTGGGACAGCAGGGCAGGTGGGGCAGCAGGGGGGACAGCAGATGGGGCAGGGGCAGCTGGTTCTTGGGCAGGGACCGCAGCAGCAGCAGCAGCAGCAGCCGGGGCAGCAGCAGCAGGGTGGAGGTATGGGTCAGGCGGTGCCTGGCTCCTCCATGTCTCCGGCCCCATATGCTGCCACACAGCAGCAGCAGCAGCAGCAACTGCAGGCACAGGAGCAACAGGCGCAGGCGCAACAGGCACAGGCGCAACAGGCACAGGCACAGGCACAGGCACAGGCGCAGGCGCAGCAGCAGCAGCAGCAGCAGCAGGTGGGGATGGGTTTCCAGGGAGGAGCAGCAGCAGCAGCAGCAGGAGGGGCAGCTCAGCTTATCAACGCTGCAGTAACCTCCGTCTCGCCCTCGTCGGCTCAGCTGATGGCAGCAGAGATTGAAAGACCCGGCTCTGCTGCCGCTGCGGCCGCCGCAGCTGCCGCTGCTGCCGGTGCCCCTGGCGCTTCCCTTGGTGCCCCTGGCGCTTCCCTTGGAGCCCCGGGCTCGGCTCCTGGTGCTGCCCCTGGCGCTCCTGGTGCGGCTGGTGCTGCTGCTCCCCCTGGTGGGGTCAGCCATCTGCTCCCCAAGATACCCATGGGCGCAGAGGGCCCCCTTGCATATGCTGGCAGCCCTGCTCCAATGGACCTCCCAGGCATCAACCAGCAGGTGTGTAAATCGTGTGGTGCTCCCCATCCCCCTCCCCCTGCTGGGGCCGCCCATCTGCTCCCCCCCATGACACCCATTGCGGCGACAGTGTGGGTTGTGAAGCACTCTATTTCCTTGTGGCTGTCCTGGATGTGTGTCTGTGTAGATCCCTACAGCAGCACGTTGCGCTTTTCTTATGTATGTCTGTGCGTGTGTCCGTGCCTCTCTGGTGTCTGGCCTTGTGTGCCATTGTGTGCGAGAGTGCTTTGCCCTGCCTTGGGGCTTGGATGTGCGTGCATGTGCTTGGCTTGCCTTGGCTGTTCCTCTCTTGCCGCGGCATGTGCTTGCTTCGGCATACATGTTCGTTTCCAGGTGGATGCATCGGCAATGCCACTGTCAGCTAACGCTCCTCCCGACCACGAGATCAAGGTCCGTGCCTCGTGTCCGTGCCTCATGTCCGTGCCTCTTGTCCGTGCCTCGTGTCCGTGCCTCATGTCCGTGCCTCTTGTCCGTGCCTCGTGTCCGTGCCTCATGTCCGTGCCTCTTGTCCGTGCCTCGTGTCTGTGCCTCATGTTCCTGCCTCCTGTTCGTGCTACATTCACACATTTACAATCACACTCCTGCATTTCAATTCGCACACTCCGTGCATGTATTGCATGGTCGCATCTCTTTCCCCGCTCCCATATGCCTGACCTCAGGCCCAGAATGTGCCTCTCTTGGACGACTGGGTGCCGTGGGGTAAGTGAAGCAGCGGTGGGCAACAAGCAGCTAGAGATTTTCAAGCCTCTCCTCCTTGCCTCATGCTTCGTGGCTTCGTGCTTCTCCTTCTTGCCTCTCCTCTTCCTTGCCCCTCCGCCTTCTTGCCTCTCCTCCTTGCCTCTCCTTCTTGCCTCTCCTCCTCCCCCCTCAGGCTTAAGTGGTTACCCTCTTGGATGACTGGGTGCGCGTGAGCGAGGTAGTGGCCGGCAATGACAAGGCGGTGTTGGTGTTCCTTCTGAAAGCTATCGTACCTCTTTCCCCCCACCTTCCCCCCTTTCCCCCCCAGGCCCAAACAGTGGCTCTGTTTGACGACTGGGTGCGCGTGAGCGGGGCGGCAGCGGGCAACGACAAGGCGGTGGTGGTGTTCCTCCTGACATGTATCGTACCTCGTTCCTCCCCCCCCTTCCTTCCCCCCCCCTTCTCAGGCGCAGGCCGTTGCTCTGTTTGACGACTGGGTGCGCGTGAGCGAGGCAGCGGCGGGCAACGACAAGGCGGTGGTGGTGTTTCTCTCGCAGCTGCAGCACTCGACACTGCTCGCCTCGGAGGAGGCGGCCGAGCGGCTCTTCCGCACGCTCACCGACATGGTGGTGGCGCACTGCCTCAGCACTGAGGCGCTCAACCCGCCCCCGCCTGCTGCCCCCCCTGGCAGCGGCCAGGTGCCCCCGGCTAGAGGGCTCAATTTCACAGCAGTGGACATGTTCAGCCGGCTGGTGGTGCTGCTGATTAAGGTGTGTATTGCTGCTGGACCCCCCTCCCCCCCTCCCACCTCCTTTCCTTTATCTCCGCCTGTACGCTTTGGTTGCCCTTACATCTCCCCTACTCGAATTTGAGCAAGGTGAATCTGCTGAACTAGGTGCTCTCAGGAGTGCAGCTCATGTTCACCCCTCTCCATCCCTTTCCACCTCTTTCCAGTACTACGTGGATGGGAGCGGCAGTGCAAATCTGAGCAAGGTGAATCTGCTGAACAAGGTGCTCTCAGGCATGCAGCTCATTCATCTCACCGCTATCCACCGCTTTCAACCCCGTGTCCCTCTCTATCAGTACTACGTGGACGGGAGTGGCAATGCCAACCTGAGCAAGGTGAACCTGCTGAACAAGGTGCTCTCAGGCGTGGTGAGGGTCATCCACCGCCAGGCGGACGAGCGCCGCCTCACCAACCCCCGCCCCTTCTTCCGCCTCCTCGCGAACCTTCTGATAGACCTCAATGCCCCTGATCCCAACTTCGATGCTGCGAGCCACCAGGTGAGGCACTGAGAGAAAGGGGAAGTGTTTAGGGAGGGGAAAGGGGGGAGGAGTGGGTGGGACGCTGGGTAGCTTCGGGTTTTGTAGCTGGAAGGGAAAAGAGGGGCAAAGAGGGACAATGTCATGATGGGATCGGTATGCCCTCTCCTGCTCTCGCCCGCTTCTTCCTCTCCTGGATTTCTCCTGAACCCCCTTCCAGGTCATGTTTGAGGCACTTTCATCACCAAGTACGACGGACGAAGTTACCTTAACTTGAACAGATCTCTGTCAGAATGTTCAAATCCCATTTGAGTCCTATTAATCCCGCCCCCCCCTGTCCCTATTGCCAGGTGCTCACCACCCTTGCTGCCACCTTCTCCTCGCCGCAGCCCTTTGGAGTGCTGGCATGCGATTTTTGAGAATTCTCAAAAATCGAGTGCTGGCATGCTTTGAGGCTAGCCACAGATCGGCCAACCTTCTTTCCCCCACGCCCCAATTCTCAAACCCCCCTATTGCCAGGTGCTCACCACCCTTGCTGCCACCTTCCACGCGCTGCAGCCTCTCCGCGTGCCGTCCTTCAGGTGAGAAGCTGGAAGGGGTGGGGAGTGAGTGGGGGGTTGTGTGGACGGGGGGGAGAGGAAGGGAAGAGGGGGGGAGGGGGAGAGGGGGGGGGGGGGGGGGGTTCTCTTAAAGGACAGGGCGAGGGGAGATGGTGAAGGGGGCGAGAGGGGGAAAGGGGGAGGGGCAGGAGGAGGGAGAGGGGGGGATGTTGTGAAGGAGGGCGGCATTCGTGCCCTAAGCTGCTTTTTCTCCTTCCCCCCTCTCTTTTAATGCTTAAGCTGCTCCCCCCCCCCCTCTCTCTTAACGCCTAAGCTGCTCCCCCCCCCTCTCTCTTAACGCCTAAGCTGCTTTTCTTCCCTCCCCTCTCTCTTAACACCTGAGCTGCTTTTTTCCCCTCCCCTGTCTCTTAACACCTAAGCTGCTTTTTTCCCCTCCCCTCTCTCCTAACGCCTAAGCTGCTTTATTTTCCCTCCCCTCTCTCTTAACACCTGAGCTGCTTTTTTCCCCTCCCCTGTCTCTTAACACCTAAGCTGTTTTTTTCCCCTCCCCTCTCTCTTAACGCCTAAGCTGCTTTATTTTCCCTCCCCTCTCTCTTAATGCCTAAGCTGCTCTTTTCCCCACCTCTCCCCCTCCAATTTTGCATGCTGGAGCTCATCAGCCGTCGATACTTCATCTCCAAGTGCACCCTTGCTGCTATCGCTGTCCAATTACCCCCCTCCCATTGCCCCCGCTCTCGCTCATCTCCTCCCCTCACGGCCTGTTCAGCTTTGCATGGCTGGAGCTCATCAGCCGTCGATCGCTCATCAGCCGTCGATCGCTCATCTCCATCCAAGTGCACCCTTGCTGCTATCGCCCTCCCATTGCCCCCCCTCCCCTCCCTTTACCGCCTGCTCAGCTTCGCGTGGCTGGAGCTGATCAGCCACCGCTCGTTCATGCCCAAGCTGCTGCTCTTCCCCGGCCAGAAGGGATGGCCCTGGTTCCAGCGCCTGCTGCTCTCGCTCTTCAAGTTCATGGAGCCGTATCTGCGGGATGCTGAGCTCAGCGACCCGGTGAGTGCTGCTTGATTCTACTTCATTAGTGTGCAGACCTGGTGGTGTCTATTGCCCTGGTTCCAGCGCCTGCTGCTCTCCCTCTTCAAGTTCATGGAGCCGTATGAGCGGGTTGCTGAGCTCAGCGACCCGGTGAGTGCTTCTTTCTTCTGCTGCTGTCTCCGGTACTTTGAGGCAACTTAAGAATCAATTTGGCCCTGGTTCCAGCGCCTGCTGCTCTCCCTCTGCAAATTCATGGAGCTGCATCTGCAGGTTGCTGAGCTCAGCGACCCAGTGAGTGCCATTTACTTGGTAGTGAGTGAGCTCAGCACAACTGCTTTGGATGCTCTAGTCATGTTGCCCTGGTTCCAGCGCCCTCTGCTTTCGCTGTTTAAGTTCATCCCATCTCATCCCATCCCATCCCATCCCATCCCATCCCATCCCATCCCATCCCATCCCATCCCCTGCAGATCCGTCTCATGTACAAGTGCGCCATCCGCGTGCTGCTGTGCTGCTGCACGACTTCCCTGAGTTCCTCTGCGATTACCTCTTCAGCATCTGCGGCATCATCCCCACCCCTTCCCCCCCAACCGTCCATCCTCTTTATTGGCAGATCCGTCTCATGTACAAGGGCGCCATCCGCGTGCTGCTGGTGCTGCTGCACGACTTCCCGGAGTTCCTCTGCGACTACCACTTCAGCTTCTGCGACATCATCCCCCCCACCTGCATCCAAATGCGCAACCTTGTGCTCTCTGCCTTCCCCCGCAACATGCGTCTTCCAGACCCCTTCACCCCCAACCTCAAGGTGCGTGTGGCTGTAGCGTGTGTTTCAGGCACCTTGTAGCCTATCGTCACACTAATATCATCCCTCCCACCTGCATCCGATCCAAATGCGCGACCTCGTGCTCTCCGCCTTCCCCTGCAACATGGGCCTCGGACCCTTTCACGCCCAACCTCAAGCTGAGCTTGTAGGCTGGTTGCAGTGTGTTGTGAGGTGCCTTCAACTGCCACATTCTGGTGGGACTATTGTAGCACCATCACCCCCCCACCCACCCACCTGCATCCAAATGCGCAACCTTGTTCTCTCCGCCTTCCCCCGCAACATTGGCCTCCCGGACCCTTGCACTCCCAACCTCGAGGTCAGATGCCAACTGGCTTGCTTGCTTTTACTCTTTGTATGACTATCGGTGTAACACCACACCATCACTCTCATGCTCCTTTTTTGTGGCGCCTCAAAAATAGACTCCTACCGGTGTGTCACCACACCATCATTGCCCTGTTTCCTGCATTCCCTCGCTTCCGAGGAGTCATCCCACGTCATCACCAATCCTAAAAAATGGCTGTCGGTGTATCACCACACCATCATTCTCATTTCTCCTTTTCCTGCACTGCACACCTCGCTTCCTCCGCCCACACCCCCTTCAATGCCAGGTCGACCTGCTCCCAGAGATCAGCCAGCCCCCGCGCAGTCTCTCATACGTGGAAACAATTCTTAGAGCCAAGTCACTTCTCTCTCTCTTCTTGCTCGCCTTCCCTCCTTCAATGCCAGGTCGACCTGCTCCCAGAGATCAGCCAGCCGCCGCTCATTCTCTCCGATGTTGAGGCCACCCTCAGGACCAAGAACCTGAAGGGCGACGTGGACGAGTACCTCAAGACGCGCCAGCCGCTCTCCTTCCTCACAGCAGACCGCAAGCAGCGCCTGCTGCTCGTGCAGCCCCTCACTCCCATTGCTCCTTGCCCTCCCCCACCCTCCCTCCCCCTCCCTCCCCCTCCCTCCCCCTCCCTCCCCAACCCCCCCATCCCCCTCCTGACAGGTCGACCTGCTGCCAGAGATCAGCTAGCCCCCTCGCATATTGTCGGATGTTGAGGCCATCCTCCGGGCCAAGAACCTGAAGGGCGACGTGGACGAGTACCTCAAGACGCACCAGCCGCTCTCCTTCCTCACAGCAGACCCCAAGCAGCGCCTGCTGCTGCCGCGTGCTGTGCTGACCACTCTCAGCCCTCATTCTCATTTCTCATGCTCATCCTTCTGACTGCTCCCCCTCTTCCAGGTTGACCTGCTCCCGGAGATTAGCCAGCCGCCGCGCATTCTCTCCGATGTTGAGGCCACCCTCCGGGCCAAGAACCTCAAGGGCGACGTGGACGAGTACCTCAAGACGCGCCAGCCGCTCTCCTTCCTCACGGCAGACCTCAAGCAGCGCCTGCTGCTGCCGGCAAACGAGGCGGTGCAGAGCGGTACACGATACAACGTGCCGCTGCTCAACTCGCTGGTGCTCTACGTCGGCATGCAGGTGCGCTGTTGTCACGGGTCATGTTTTTCGCTCCCTTGCTCCTGCTGCTCTCGCCTTCCCCCACCGCCTCTCCTCCCCCGCCCCCCTCCTCCTCTTCCCCCAACCACTACAGGCCATTTTGCAGCTGCAGAGCAAGGCTACCCCTCCAGCCCAGCAGCTCGCAGTCCCCACAGCCCCAATCACCCACAGAGCCCCCATGGACAACTTCCAGCGCCTCATCTCCCACCCCACTCGCATTGACTTGAGGCGCCTCAACACACTCCCTTTCCCTGCTCCCTCTCCCCCCTTTCCCCCCCTCTCCCCCGCCCGTCCATCTTAGCTCTGCAGGCCATTCAGCAGCTGCACTGCAGAGCAAGGCCACCCCTCAACATCTCGCGGTTCCCATGGCCGGCATCACGCACAGGGCCCCCACGGACGTCTTCCAGCATGAGAAGTCTATTTTTGAGGCGCCTCAAAAATAGTCTCCTTACCCGTGTGGCCCGCATCACGCACAGCGCCCCCATGGACGTCTTCCAGTGCCTCAGCATGCTCACTTTTCCCTCTCTCCCACTTGTGCCGGCCATTCAGCAGCAGCAGAGCAAGGCCACCCTGCAGCAGCCGGCGGTCCCCACAGCCCCCATCACCCATAGTGCCCCCATGGACGTTTTCCAGTGCCTCATCTCTCTCCTCCACTCCTAACCCCCCCTCACCCCCTCTTCCCTCCTCCCCGTCCCCCTGCCCTGCAAACACTGCAGGCCATTCAGCAGCTGCAGAGCAAGGCCACTCCCCAACAGCTGGCCGTGCCAACAGCGCCCATCACCCACAGCGCCCCCATGGACGTCTTTCAGCGCCTCATCTCGGGCCTGGACTCGGAGGGGCGGTACCTGTTCCTAAACGCCATTGCCAACCAGCTGCGCTACCCCAACAACCACACGCACTACTTCTCCTGTGTGCTGCTGTACCTCTTTGCTGAGGCAAATCAGGTGTGATGTGAGATGCTCATAGGCTGACATGCTGAGGCAGGGTAGGCCACTCAGGTGATACTCCCACTTTCAATCAGGTGAAGTACGGTGTCTGCCTGTTGTGGTTTTTAACAGGTGGCCCTTGATTTCCCGTGTGGCTTGCACTTCTCAAATATATGTTTTTTGGGCTGCTCCGGTATGCTGGTGCGTTTCTTAGGTGCCTCAAAAATTTTCTCCTGTATGCTGGTGTGTTTTTTAGGCACCTCATATTTTGCTCCTGTATGCTGGTGTGTTGTGCTGTCTTGCTTTCACAGGAGATAGTCCAGGAGCAGATTACGCGAGTCTTGCTGGAGCGCTTGATTGTCAACCGGCCACACCCATGGGGTCTGCTCATCACTTTCATTGAGCTCATCAAGGTATGATAGAATTTGTACAACAGGCATATAACTTTCCGGGTCCACTAAGGCAACGCTAGTGCAACGCTAGCAGTCAACCCATCCACTACTCTCCCCCATCCACTACTCTTGGCTTTAGTAGTCGTTTCATTTTTCTGTTGCGTCTTGCTCCGTTTTCTGGTGGTTCAGAATCCTCGGTACAACTTCTGGAGCCACGGTTTCACCCGGTGTGCCCCGGAGATAAAGAAGCTCTTTGAGTCAGTGGCCCGGTCCTGCATGGGCCCGCCGCCCAAGATGGACGAGGAGGTACACGCCACTGTTCAGCAGCAGGCCTGAACATGCATCTGGTCAGATTTGCCCTCTTGAGTTGGCTTGGCTTAGAAGCTGCACCATGATGGGAGAAAGCAAAGTGGTACTGCTACTCGTACTGTTCAGCAGTCCTAATTACCTAGTCATGCTTTGACTAACACTTCGGACCAGACGTCAGGGCGCTGCCTGGTCTGGAACCACCTCTGCTAATTTCTTAAATAGTTTCTAAATTCATTGTTCTTTATTCCCTTCTGAGCTTACGATTTGTTTTAGGGGGAGTTGAACCAGTACGATTAGTGAGTAGCAGAGCAATTCACTGCGTCGCGGATACCGGGTCCTGGTGAAGGAGCTCCTTGTGATGTTGTCCGACGTGGCTTTCCCTTGGATTGCTCGTGGAGACCTCGGCTTACGTGGTTGGGTCGTCATGTGCACGTGTCAGCAGCTCTTGCCCTCAAAAAGTTCTGGAACCTCATCCAATCACCTCGGCCAGTAGGGCTGTAGGAGCAACTCGGACAAACCCAACAAAACTTGCGAAATCGCCAACGCGTCGCCGAAGTCTGAAATTACCGTGTGGGATTTCGCGAAGCAGAGTCTGGTGTCGTTGGTCTTTTGGCGAAAGATTTTTTCCTTCTCATGCACTCAACTCGCTCTCGCAATTCTTCATTACTTCGACCCTGCGGTTATGAGCTGATCCCTTCAAAAACTCCTACTGACATCAGCCCATAATTTATCTGTCTCTCGTTGCGACTAGCTAACGTCATAGGCTGGTTCGTCTAGCAAGATTTAGCTAACGATAGCTGAGAAGACGTTGCTAACCATTAGCGACTTCTGAAGTTCCAATCTCAGCCAGATCGACGCCATGGCAGCCGCAGGCCTTCACCTCAAAGCGTCGCTCGCCTCAGCCAAGTTATCGCACCCGTCTCGCGCGTCCGGAGCAGCGATGCCAGCGGCAAGTCCCGCCGTCGTTCCCTGCCGCGCGACCCAGCTACTATCGCACAGACGAGCAGCGATCTTCGTCTCTTCGTCGCAACGAAAATCCACCCTTCCTGCTTTCCGACCCCGCTCCCAGCTTTCGATCTCCGCTTCCGCTTCCGCGCAAGCTGCCGCGCAGTCCTCCGCGCCTCCTTCCCCCACTGCTCTTTTCGTCGCAGCAGTCGCAGCCGCTTCGGTGACAGCAGCGGCCGTCGCACACGCCGTTCTCGAGCCGCTGCGACGCCTCTTCGCGCCCCTCTCCGCCACCGAGCAGCTCCAATTGGACAACCTCACGGGCCGCGCGCCGGGATCTCTAACCGCGTCTCTAATCTCCTCCGGAAAACGGCTAGCGGCGTGCTCCGCGCCGCTGTTATTCGCGGCGATCAGCCAATCAAACGCGAGCACGAGCACGCCGCTGACGGTGATCGCGAGCGGCATGGCGAAGTGGCTGGAGCTGTACAGCGGACTGCTGCTGGTGCGCGTGCTGCTGTCGTGGTTCCCCAACATTGACTGGGAGAGGCAGCCCATGCAGGCCATACGTGATATGAGCGACCCCTATTTGAACCTCTTCCGCAACATTCTGGTGAGTACACGCGTTTTGCTGTAGCTTTCTGACAATGCCGGTCTTCAAAGCTCGTTACAAATGGATCTTGAAACTCCATGCAAGATCCGTAAAGTTCCCTCGCTGTAAAAGAAAAAATAATGCACGGGTGGTGACAGGGTTAACTGCATAACCGTTGAAGGAGAGAGCATCTGATGCGTGAATATTGAGCCACCGTCAGACAGTCGCTACCGCGTCAGTGTCGCGTCAGAGCCCAGCCTGTTCAGCACGTACCATGGCTGATCATCCGATACCAGGCATCCCTACTTTTCTCAGCACGTCTTCTTACAGCACATCCCTTTGTGGCACATTTCTTTGTGTCCCGATTTTGTAAACGCACCTTCAACACCCGTTCACACGTCTAACCGCTACATACAGCGCATGTTTTACCTCTCATAGCTTTTGAATGTTTATAGATCGAATTTCTCGAAACCCTTCTTTTCGCCCAAATGCCGAACGCTGCAAAGCCCTCGTGTCTGCCAATAATCTGACGACACGTCAGGTGGGGGAGCTAGCCCACCTCTCATGCGAACAGTGCCAGCTGTGCATAGCAATGTGTATGGGTGACAACCATATGCTTTTTTAGATGCATACTTCTCTCCCTGTGGCGTTTTGCCTCAATCCCCTCCACATTCTCCCTCCACCCTCTCCCCTCCCCTCTCCTTTCCTAATGCCCACCTTTTTTTTTTGGTGTTACCAGCTTCCCCCCTCTCTCCTCACCTCCCACCCTCTCTTGTGTTCAAACAAAGGCTAGTAATAGTTTGCTTTCTACCTTGCATCCGCAGCCCATCTGCACAGCACACCAACTATTCTCCTTTCGTCTCGCCGCTCACCCACCTCTGTCTAATGATTGCTTCCCTTCCCTGCCCTTTTCTCACCCTTACTTTACCTCTCTCTGCTACTCTCCCTCCAATGTGTGCAGCCTCCCTTTGGAGCGCTGGATCTCAGTCCCATGCTCGCTTTCCTCGTGCTCGGCATGCTCGATTATTGGACTGCCCTGCCTGCCCTTCTCACCTTTATTCTCCCCGTGTGCTACTCTCCCCCCCTTTGTGTGCTGCTCTCCCCTCCCCCCTGTGTGCAGCCTCCTTTCTTTGGAGCGCTGGATCTCAGTCCCATGCTCGCTTTCCTTGTGCTCGGCATGCTCACATCTCTGCTTAATACAGCAGTTTTCTCTTAGAAAATGCAATTCCACGTGTTTCGGGCTTGCGGTGGGCGCAGAAGTGTGCAGTGTACTGAGTATGGTATAGGCTGATTTGATTCCATGCAAACATGAACCTGGTATCTGAATAAACGAGCTGGTGCTGTATTCAACGCCCTGTATCATGCCGAAGTCATCATGATGCAATTGTTTGTACTAGACCATAGGAAGATTAGGCATGAATTTAGGGTTGAAATTGGAAAATATTTAAAGGTTGCATGATGATTATGGTGGTGCATACGAACAAGTCCCTATGGCGGACAAACATGTGGAAGGTGGGTCAGCCGCGGCACGCAGCGCCTCCTCCGCCAAACCCACCTGGGTACACCCGAAATCTCGTTTCTCTCAAATCACGTAGCTTAAAAAAAACGGATACAGTCGTTGCCAAGTTCGGCAACTTATCTCATGGAGAAATGGAATTTCACATTGCCCTGGACCAAATATGGCTTAGTGTGGGAAAAACCACAGACCTTAACGGGTTGAGCTGCTGATTCCAGAAGCTCCTAGTCGCGTGAACCCTCCATTCGGAACATTCTGTTTCATCCCTTCCACTACTTTTGTTTTAAATATTATTGAACTCCCCACGTAGGACCAAACACTCGTCACTCTAGAATACACCCCTAGTTCTTCCGGGGCTCGGGAAATACTCCTGGCGCTTGGTTCCCCGGGCGGTCACGTACAATCACATTTTGTAAAAAAACAAGGCAGCCAACCTGACATGCACGCTTGATTCTAACGAGGTTTAGCGTGTATTACAATTGACCGCGGGAAAACGACTGTATCCTTGCCAAAGCAAAGCGTCTCCACTCCAACCTCTTTGAAACGAACCTCGGTTGGGCGACGTGGCGTGGACGCTTGGAGTGATAGTACAGTATTTATCCAGCTGCCCCCCCTTGCCGACTTTTCTACTGCGGGCAGGGAAAACAGAGTTTCGGTTGTGGGAAAGTTCCGACCGTTGGTCTAGTTGTCCGATTGTCGGTCTGGTTACACTTTCGCAAACATTGACAGGGTGCGTCGCACCAGGCGTTTTCGTCGCCGACCAGAAACTGCCCCACATCCTAGCCTTTCTTCCCTCGTTGCCAAATGTTCGTCCCCTCCACCCACACTTTTTGTTGATGCTCCCCTGCTCTAATACGATCGCGAAGTGCTATTCCTTATCTATTTTCTTTCCGTTTATTATTTTAGCTCGTCTTCTAGGCAAGCCTGCTCGAGATGGCGGACGGCAACTATCCCACCACTGGGCAATGGACCACTGGCTGCTGCGGCTGCTTCGAGGACTGTAACTCATGTGAGCTCGTCAAATGCGCATTTTACGCTTTAGGGCAATCCGTTATGCTGCTCATCCCATGGACACACATGATTGCTCAGCAACAATAAACAGGCCGTTTAGGTTCCACAAGTTCTACAGTAGTATTAATCAGTTAAGGAATAGTGACCGTCACTGAAATATCACTGGTGGAAGTTGTTGATTGCAATTCCAGATAATTTATATAGTAGATAACTTAATGTGTCCCATCGTTTCCGCTTCAGGTTGCTGCGTTTTGTGGTGCCCCTGTGTCGCCGTCGGACGAATTGCCGAGATTGCTGACGCAGGAGAAGCTGGTAACGCCTTTCGCAATTCTGCGTTGCGTTTTTTTTTTTTTTTTTTTTTTTTTTTTTTTGCCTTGTCGAAATTGAGGCCCCTGCTCTACTACTCTTGTTCTGTCGCGTTTTCAGTTTGGCGCTTTTAGCTCTTGGCCTGCTACCGCTGTCACCACTGCCGTGATCGCCGTTAATCGTCTCCACAACCATTGTTTTTTTTTTTTTTCCGTCTTGTGGCTGCAGACTCGGGTCAGACATGTCTTTTCTGGTACCTGCTCGAATGTTTGACTCGCTGCGGGTGTCTCCTGGCACACGGTAAGAGTTCATACCTGAGAGGTGCGCCTCGCATGATAGGGCGATCTCTCGGTGATTGATGATACCCCTCGTCTCCACATCTTGTTTCTGCGTGCTTAGTCCTTCGTCAGCAGAAGTCAATCTGGTACATGTGATAATAATTTCGTTTTGAGGCGTCTCAAAACGAACTTTTTATCGCTCGGACAGAAGATACCCCTCGTCTCCACGCCCTGTTTCTGTGTGTTTAGTCCTTCGTCAGCAGAAGTTAATCTAGTTAATTCGTCAATGTGGGTCAATGTGAGTCAGTGTGGGTCAATGTGGGTCAGTGTGGGTCAACGTGGGTCAATGTGGGTCAGTGTGGGTCAGTGTGGGTCAGTGTGGGACAATGTGGGTCAGTGTGGGTCAGTGTTGGACAATGTGGGTCAGTGTGGGTCAGTGTGGGACAATGTGGGTCAGTGTGGGTCAGTGTGGGTCAATGTGGTCCAGTGTGGGTCAATGTGGGTCAATATGGGCCGATGTGGGGCAATCTGGGTCAGTGGGTCAACGTGGTTCAATGTGGGTCCGTGGGTCAATGTGGGTCAATGTGGGTCCTGGAGTTGGCACGGCGGCTGACTGGTCAATTTATCGCATCGCTCCTCCGTCCATTGTGCAGGGTACAGAAGAAAGCTCAGGTCGAAATACGGCCTTCCTGCGAAGCCGTGTGGCGACCTGTGCATGCACTGTTTCTGCGAGTTCTGCTCCATTGCCCAGGAGTATCGCGAGCTCAAGAACCGCGGCTGGGACCCCTCCATTGGTAAGCTGTGTGGAACATGCTGACTTTTGAATCGACTCGGAAGTCATCTCAGGAGTATCGCGAGCTCACGAACCGCAGCTGGAACCCCTCCACTGGTAAGCTGTGTGAAACATGCTGACTTTTGAATCGACTCGGAAGTCAGCTCAGGAGTATCGCGAGCTCAAGAACCGCGGCTGGAACCCCTCCATTGGTGAGCTGAGTGAAACATGCTGACCTTTGAATCGACTCGGAAGTCAGCTCAGGAGTATCCCGAGCTCAAGAACCGTGGCTGGAACCCCTCCATTGGTGAGCTGCATGAAACATGATTGACTTCGAGTCAATCTGACATTCCCAATGGAGTGTACACTTTCTGCAGAAGGCACACTTGCTGCAAGTTCAGCTCCATTTGCCATAAGTACAGAACCTGTGACCTCATTTACTGTGCCTGGGAGCCCTCCATTGGTAAGGTACTTACCATGCACTACCCTGGCATGGTGAATCATAGACGCCCTTCTTTTTGAAACGCACTTGCTGTGAGTTTCCAGCCAAGGAAAACAGCTTCCATTTCTTTTCTATTTTTTCTTTTCTGTTTTTCTTTTCTGCCCATTTCGCTGGCTGTGCAGGGTGTTTTTAGAGTTCTCAAAAACACCCTTTCGCTGGCTGTCTTGCTGGTCCTTGCGTCACTGTCATGCGAGAGTCTATAGACTGTCCTGTTACGAATGGCTCCCACCCAGATTGCACTGTTCTTAACTGACTTGTAAAAATACTGTTGGTGAATGTGCTTTGGAACTCTCAGGTTACCTGGGGAACAAGAACAAGTCTCCCCCGCCTCAGCAGTTCATGCAGTAAAGCCAGTCTAGTATTATGGGAGATCACTTTGTAGCGGGTTATAGGTTACATTTGGGTTTCGGCATGGTTCAGTAAGGTATTGCCTAGGTGAGACGACGTGTATGTTGCTTTGAAATCCTGAATTGTTTGTAGGCACCCGCCGTTTTTTTTTAGATTCTTGATGCTGCAGTGAAAGTTTACCCATGTGAAAAGAATGCAGTCAATAAAGGGTATGAATGTGTCTCTTTAAAGCCCAAGGCAGAAATAGCAAACCCGATTCAAGTTGGGCCCAGCTTGAACAAGAGAACGGGCTTGGTTTGAACAAGAGTTGGGTATGTTATCAATTCGGGGTGGAACTTCTGTTCACTTGCTCGTGTGGCGACGATATGGCTTGTCGTACAGTGGCGAGGCGTCGTACGATTTCCGATCCCCCCGTGACACTCGAGAAGCAAACCTGGTCCCAACTTGAAAATCGAGCTGAAGTTCCAGGGGAAAAAATCGCTCAAGTCGCGAGCGCGTCAGAAGGGTCGCACTGTACATTTCGCCAGGCTGATTGTTGCCTCCGCCAATCATAATCGAGCAGTTCATTTCAGACTCCTTTCCATCCGAAATTCACAACAGGATCCCAATCAGTCATCCCCTACCTAGACGGATTTTAGGAGGTAAATGTTCAAGTTGGGCCAACCTTTGCTATTACAGCCTGGGGCTTTAAGTGCACTTTACTAGGGGTTGGACACAAACTAATGCTCTAGTCAACTCAACACATACAACAAATAAAAATTGCACTATACTACGCTGATGTTGCACAACCACATCCCGTGACCTTCCTGCTAATGCACTACTGGTAGAAGCAAACGCAAGTGTCTTTCAGCAATATCATTGCTCCAGCCAACAAGCCGAACTAACTTCAGTTTCCTCCAAGATTGCCCCATTCAATCAAACTGCATGACTGCACCACAACGATTATTCCACCCTACCTCGCCACAAGCAAATGCGACAGCGCCACGCATACAGCGCTGATGTGATGCCCAAAGCTGGCGCAAGGCTGGTGCAAAGCTGGCGCAAAGCTGGTGCAAAGCTTGTGCAAACACTACTGCAGTATCAGGGTGCAAGTCTGCAAGATGCCACACCAGCACACGACCTGTTACAAGCACATCCTGCCTCCTAACAGCACACGACCTGTTACAAGCACATCCTGCCTAACAGCACACGACCTGACCCACAACAAACAGACACACCACACCATACTTCAGTGCTGAGACCAGGCAGCCACACCTGTATCCACTGCACTGCCTTCTCTCACTCAACTGGTCTCACACAACACAACCCTCCCTAAACCCTCTCTACACCCCCCATGCCACTGACTCAGCATGCCTCCCTGCTGATTCAAAGAAGCACCACCTCGTCACCCTTGCCCCATACTAAATCGACCCCTTGCGCAGGGCCATTGCCAGACATCAGCTCGATCCCCTGCCTCCCCTCTCCTCCCCCCTTCCCTCCCCCCTTCCCTCCCCCCTTCCCTCCCCCCTTCCCTCCCCCCTTCCAGCCCCAGCCCAAGCACTAACCCCCTCTGCCCCCCCCCTTGGCCTCCAACTACCCGCACTCCCTGTCCCCCCTCCCCCCTCTCTTCCTCTCCCTCCTCTCCCCCCGGCCCACCTCGCACCCCCTCGACCCTCCCCATACGCCCACCTTCCCCCTTGCCCCCTCCCCTGCCACTCATGCGGTCCCCCTCTCCCCCCTCCGTACCCTCCCCCTCCCCTACCTCCCCCTCCGCTTCCCCCTCCCCCTCCCCCTCCGCTTCCCCCTCCCCCTGCGCCTCCCCATGACCCTGATGATCGAGGGCCATAGCCCAGAACTTCTACCCCCGAGCCTCCACCTGTTGCTTCCCTGTCCAGCCCGCCTCTGCCAATTCGCCCCGCTCCCGCTGCTGCTGCTGCACCTGCTGCTGCTGCTGCTGCACTTGCTGCAGATGCATTTGCCGCAGCCCCGACACTACCACGACCACCACCACCAGCACCAGCAGCAGCCGCACCTACACCAGCAGGAACAGTGCGCCCCACAGGTCCTCCTCGCCCGGTGCTTTGCAGCCTGCTGCTACCTTGCTGCTGCGATGCACCAGCACCAGCACCAGCACCAGCAGACACAGGGAGAGGCAGGATGGCAGACGCTCCAACTGTTGGACCTACTGCTCTTACCGCCCCTATCCCTCCCGCTCCTGCTGCTGCTCCTGTTGCTGCTGCTCCTACTCCTCCTCCCACAGCCCCCACCGCTCCTACTGCTGCTCCTCCTGCTCCCCCTGCTCTCCCCGGCGCAGCAGCAGCACCGCCTGCTGCTTCATGCCTAGCCATCCCTCCCGTACCCGGACCAGAGTAGAGAGGCATGGAGGGGGAGGTTCGGGAATCCATCCGAGCCTCACTTGCAGGTTCGCCACCCGCTCCAACCACGGAAGGATCTCGCAAAACCTGCTGCTGCCTTGGCTGATTTGCGCCGTTCACAGTAGCCACTACTGCTGCATCTACCCCTTCCACTGGTTCCCCCACCCCTGCGCCTACATGCACCCCCACATTTATACCTAGCAGAGCCTCGGCCATGGATCCGTCTAAGATCGGCGAAGGAGACGACGCGGGCACGCCAATCTGCCCGAACTGGAAAACGGGCAGCTGAGACCCGGAACTGTTTTCATCCTGCCCGAGCGAGCCCATGCTGAAAGGAATGGGCATGGAGCCGATCTGGATCATGTAAGGAGCTACACCGGATTGTGCTGTAGAGGGTACAAACGAGGATGCCTGCGATGATGACGAGGCAGACACAAACGAGGATGTCACTGACGGGTATGAGGACGTCCCCGAGCCAAACGCGTCAACAGAGTGCGGGGAGAGGGTTTGGGAAGGAGAGGAAAGGCCTAGAGACGAGTCTGGCCCAATAGGGGTTCGGGAAACAGGGGAGGAGACGGAGGGGGTGATGGGAGCAAGAGTAGCCGCAGAAGCTGAGGGGAGGTGCGGACCAGGGGAGGTAGATGGCGTTACACCACTGGTCCTACCACCTGGCACAATCACTGTGCTTGATGACGTGGCGGCATTGGTGACGTCAGCGTCTGACGTGGCCGTTGTAGATATTTTGGTCCCCGCTGCATTGGGTTGGTCCTGGGCATTGACCTCCAGCTTTGAGGCGAGAAGCGCGCCAAGCTCGTCCTCCACGTCTGCTGACGTGGCAGCCGAAGATTTGTCTCCCGCTGGCCCTGCTGTTTGCTGCTGTGGCGCCTGCTGCTGCTCCGATCGCTGCTCCTGTGGTTGCTGCTGCTCCCCCTCCTGCTGTGCGGGTAGTGGTGCCTGCTTCTGCTGCTGCTGCTGCTGCTGCTGCTGCTTCTGCTGCTGCTGCTGATCCTGATGCGAGGCAACCATACCCTGCTGCTGCTGCTGCTGCTGCTGCTGCTGCTGCTGCTGCTGCTGCTGCTGCTGATGTTGCTGATGCTGCTGCCTCTGCTGCTGCTGAGAGTAACCAACTTCTGGTCCTATAGGTCCCCTCCGCCCCTCTAGGTGATCCCCAGGGGCCCCCCACCTCCTATCCGCCAAACCCGCATCTTCCCGCCCATAATAATTCCCCCCCGGACCATCCCCCCTCCGCTCCTGATACTGCCTTCCCCCCAACCCCGCGGGGCCCAGCCCCCCTGGCTCCCCCACCACCCCCACTGCACTCCGCCCAAACCCTCCCCCTCCCCCCGCAGCTGCGCCAACCGCGCCTATGGGGTTCCCCGCGCCCATCGCTGGCGGAAACCTCCCCACGGGGCCTGGTCCGCCAATGAACTGGTTGCGCATGGGGGTGGGGCCCACAGACTTATCAAAGAACTGGTGCGCCGCACCTGGGGGGCCTCCGCCTGGGGGGACCCCTGGCGGGCCCGCAAACGGCCCTCCCCCGCCCGCTGGTCCCCCCGGGCCCATCCCCATGGCGGAATGCCCCCCGCCGCCCCCACCGCCCCCGCCCCCGAGCATGTGAAACCCGCGGGTGATATCCCCGTTACCGAAAAACGAGGAGGAGGGGGGGGAAATGGAGACAGGGCGGTGCAGCAGCGGGGGCTGTTGCCCGTGCAGGTGCTGATGCTGCGAAAGGGGCATTCCAGGCGCGGAATGAAGCGCGTGTGCGTGCGCGTGCGGATGCGCGTGCCCCTGCGCGTACGCCGCCTGCGGATGCGCGTGCGCGTGGTGCGGCGGGACCAGAAGATGCGACGCCCCAGGGAACCCCCCCCCAGGCCCAATCATCCCCGGCGGAAAGAACTGCTGGTGTATCTTCCAAGGCGCAAACCCTACCTCCGCTCCAGGACCGCCCCCCCCACCAATCTCACCCATCCCCCCCATGCCCCCCATGCCCCCCATTCCCCATACGTCCTGCTGCCGCTCACCTAAATATCGCTCCTGCGCGCCATGGTGGTCTAAGTGGGACCCGGGGAAGCGCGGCGGCGGTTGGTTGTAGGCGAAGGGGGAGAGCATGGGGCCCGCGCCGGGGGGGTGGCGGGAGGGGTAGGGCGCATGGTAGGGGTCCATTCCGCGTAGATCACCCCCGGGAGCGGTTTCCGGGGCCCCTTTGCTCTGCTGCAAGCCCTCGCCTGCCGCCTGCTGCTGCTGTTGCTGCTGCTCTTGCTGCTCCTCTGCTTCCCCCTCAAGCTGCTTCTCCTGCTTCTCCTGACTAACCTGCTTCTCCTGATCGTTCTCCGCTTCCGCCGTCTCCAGCCCCAAGCCCTCCCCACCGTTCGCCTTCCGCATATCACCTTCTCCCCCCGCTTGCTCGTCACCGAGCCTCCCATTCTCCTGACCGCCGATCGCTCGCTCCGCGCTCGGTTCTGGGGACTCCGAAATTGTTTTCTCCACCACTTGGCCTACCACCTGCCCCTCCTTTTCAGATTCCCCCAACGCTGCTACCGCCGCTGCCCTGCCTACTCCCCCCTCCGCTTCCGCCCTGTCCGCGTCTTCCCAGTTATCCGCCACATGCTCCTGCTCTTCCCCCGCATTCTCCTCCCACGCGCCTCCCTCCTGCGCCTCCCCCTCGCCTCCCCCTTCCGCTCGTCTCGCCTCTTCCTCCGCCCGCCTCTTGGCGATTCTCTCTTCGAGCTCCTGCAGTTTCCTCCGCGCGTTCTCCTTCCGCCTCTCCTCTTCCTCCAGTATCCGCTGCTTCTCCGCCTGCACCTTCCGCCGCTCCTCCTCCACCCTCCGCGCAGCCTCTTCCGCCTCCATCCGCGCGCGCATGGCGGCTTCCGCCGCCTCCTGCTCCGCGCGCAGGCGCAACTCCTCCTCCTCCCGCGCCCTCCTCACCGACTCCTCCTCCTGCTGGCGCGCTAGCTCGATCGCGCGTTGCTCCTCCTCTTCTTTCCTCTGCTTCTCCTGCTCTTTCTGGTTCTGAACCCTCTCTAATTCCGCCTCGAACCTCTCTCGCTCCAGATCGCGGAATTCGCTAGCGGCGGCTTCCGCTTCCACCTTCTTTTTCCGCGACAGCGCAAGGAGACCCAGGCTGGGCGGGGGCTCCACGCCGACACGTGGCAGCGAGTGGAACTCCAGACGTGGCAGGGACACGTCAGCTTCCAGAAACCTCTCTCCGCGCTCCCGCGGGCCCCCGGGACCGAACGACCGCGAATGCAGGTCGCTGCGCCCACCGCCAGACCCAACGCCGAACCCGCCACCGTAACCGCCGCCTCTCCCCGGAAATCCGGGGCCGAAGCGGTCGAAATCAGGCTGATACCCGGGCCCTCCGATCCCACCCCCCCCACCTCCACCCCCACCCCCACCGCGGCCCCCCCGCCCCATAACGCCCCCTGGCGGTCCGTCCCTATACCCCCTGCCCCTACCCATAGGACCCATCGAACCTGCACCCATAGCACCTGGACCCATGGGACCTGGACCTTGACCCATGGGACCTTGACCCATGGGGCCTTGACTCATGGCATAAGGGGGCGGCCCATCCCAATGGCCCGGGCCCCCGAACCCTCCTCCAACGTCCCTCGCACCCCTCTCGTCAAAATACCCGCCGGGGCCGGAGCCCCTGAAGTCACCAGGACCTCTGGATTCGTTATAGTACGGTGCGTTGTTACCCCTAGGACCTGGAATTCCGCGTGGAGGCCCCGAGTCTCGCTCGTCGTCGGCCCACATGCGACGGGGCGGCGACGGCAGGCGAAACTGATCCGGTCGTACAGGCCCCGCGAACGGATCCGGTCGCATAGGCCCGCCGGCGTCGCCGGGCCCTCCGCGAGCGAAACTCGGCTCCTCGTGCCTGTCTCGACTAAAGGAAGGTTTTCCAAGCGGCGCCCGATCGTCCTGCTCTTGATCAGGCTCGTCATCCGCCCAACGAAGCCCCGTACCTCCCACACCTCCCATTCCTCCCATCCCTCCCCTGCTACTCCTGCTGCTCCCCCCTTCTGGCCCTGATCCCCCCGCCTCCTGTCCCGCTCCTACAGCGATGCTGCTGCCGCGGCCGCTGCCGTTCCCGGAACCGTCCGCCTTATCTGCCTTATCGGCGGAAGCTCCTCCCCCGTACCCTCCCCCTCCTCCGGACACCGGAGGCTGGGGGCTCTTCCCCCGGGAGTGCTCCTTCGCCTGCACCTTCTTCGCAGCTTCCAACGAGGGGAAATCCTCCCCGCTGATGATTATGGACGGCTCGTTCTGCCGCCCGGGAGGAACGGGTTTCACGGAAGGTGCAGCAGATGCCATTCCGATGCCGCTTCGGGCTCCAGGGGGCTGATACACCCCCGGACGTGTCGCGCGGAAAGCATCACCGGAATCAGCTCCGGGAATTGCGGGAGATTGTGATCCGCCTTGCTGTCCAGGAGCAGCATTGACGTCAGACGGTGATGACGTGGATCCGGGTGGTTTGGTTGATGCGGGATCGGTAACGGATCCGTCTGAAACGAGGACAGGTTTCTGCCACCCGGATCCAATGCCGGTGGGTTGGACCAAAGAGACGGATGGGTCGTTTCCTGCGTGCTCTCGCCGCAACGACGGCAAGTTTACCGGTTTCGGAACGACTAGCCGTGACTTATGCGCAGATCCGATCGATGTTGACCCTGGTCCCGTTTTCCCCAAAACGACCATTCCACCGGACGAAGCAGATTTCCCGAATTTCCCGCTGCCATGGCTGCTTCCGCCTTGAGACTGACCTGAGCTTTGCTTTCCGAACGAGCTGTTTAAGTTAACGCTGGTGAACCTGTTGCGATTGGCCATTCCCGGCTAAAAGCCACACTGAACGAAAACGCTTAAGAAACGGAGACTGGCGATCGAATGCGAATCTTCACTGAGCTTGCAAACAAGCATGGCAGGACGAGCTTGACTCTTTCTCACTGCAGAGCAGCTCGCCTAAGCTGACGCACGAAGCGTGCTGCAACGGTTACAACTCCAACTTCGCCTCAAGAAACCCTAAAGCAGATCTGGTAGGAGTGAATCAGGTGTGCTGGGATGGGGAGGGAGACCCTTCAGCAGCAGGCAGATCTGGTAGGGGTGGGCGGTGTGTGGAGGAGAAACCCTAGAGCAGATCTGGCATGGAGGCAGACACACACATCGAGGTGTTCCAAAAAAAACAGATCCACTTGGTTCAGGTTTGGCTTGGATGGATGCTTTCGCGAGGATGGGCATGGTTGGGTGGATGTGGTGAAATGGGAGTGGTGTTGGGAGTGGATGTGGATGTTTCGGGAAGGACCCATGACGACAGCACCCACCCAACGCCTGTTACAAGCGTAACAGCACGTTAGTCTTCGCAAAATACCTTATCCCGCCGGACACTGTGCGGTCGGCAAGAAGGTGAAAGGTGGGGGAGCTGGTGGAAGGTTCGCTGCCCCGGGCAGGAAAACCTGACCCTTGGCCTGTAGCTGTCCGAATTTCACACGAACCGGAGTGGTGGTCATCCACAAATCACCGTTGTCAGTTGGGTTCGGGTGAGCCTGCAACCTGCGCTAAATGCGTTACTGTAAACTTCTATGACACCGTAGTGCTCTTCTATCCCTTGTAAACTTCACTTGCACAAGGAAACCTCGTTGTCAAAAAGAAAAGTAGCATATACCATATGTGCACATGTATATGCTTAATTCTCAGCTTTAGATGATTTTTTTGTAAAAATATTTGAAAACCTGCAACGTATGGTACTAATGGTATAATTTGCGTAACACAATTTGCGTAAGTATATTATTAAATGTTTTAGACCATTTGACGATATTCTACTAACTATTCCTTGCATGCATACCCTAATTATTATCGCATATATGCTTTTATGAGTATATTCCACATCTATATGCTGGAATAAAATAGAAATGAAGTAACACGTATTGTAATGTTTCTTCTCTAAAACCAGTGGTGAATATCTCGATTATAGTTCAAAAAACAAATTCTAATGCATATTGTTCCTAGGAACAGGGCAGCACAAAAATTGAATATTAAGATAAGGTGGTTTGTGTTCAGGTTTTATAGAGGCGTACATTGTTATGAATGGAACTGCCGAGTAGCGCGGAGACAATAAAATGAAAGACAACACAATATATAGAAAACCTAGGGTGATCCTGGACGTAGGATCGGAAGGTTCGGGAAATGTGTCGAAGGGCCTCGATGTGTCAAATTGAGGTCCGGAAAGGCCCAGGAGACTCGAACTGAAAGGTCTGGAACCCTATCGCTGGTTCGGGACTGTTCGAATTGTACGTCTTTTAGAAAGCCTCAGTAAGGAATTATTAATTCCTTACATACATGAAGTGTAAACATGAAGCGTAACACTCAAACTCGTGAAGATGCGCCACTGCCCATAGGGACCAGCACTGGCGAAACTCCAACCGTCAAGCTCGTTTCGTGGCCAATTCGCACGATGACTTCAGGTTGAGGAGGACCAGCCCCGAGTCGCGAGACCTGTTGTGTTCCTCAAACGAACTGAGATTTTCACGGAAAGTTTTGGGCGGAGACCAGAGCACCAGCGGGACCATCGCCAACCAACAGCGGAGTGCCAGCTTTGGCCATTGACCCAGGAGATTTGGAAGCGGCATTGAAGTGTTTCGGGCAGCAAGTTGGTGGGGAAAAATGATTGTAGCGGTGGTTAGGTGACGCACGACCAATTGAGGTTGAGCACAACACGGTGCTGTGCTATATTTCTCGAGAAGATCGACACAGCCAGTCCCGCAACCCAACAATTTTCGATGTTCTACGAAACGCTCTAGAACGCAATGCAGCCCACCTAACCACACCAAAGTGAACTCTTTGACACACCCGAACGGACCTCAGCTGTCTCAGAAGTGAGCCTGCCAGGGGAAGTAGCGGCACAGTATGTTCTAGGTTTGGATACACAGCATTTTGAGTGGCAGGTTGCTTTGCGCCTTTTTTCGCTCATCACCAAGACCAGCAACCCGTAGGATGGACAAGGCTAAGGACGACGGAGGATAGGCCGTTGAGCCTAGAGTATATGGGGCGAAGACCTCCCCATGACGAAACAATAGGGTTGGGCTAACTTATCGTCTAGCGCGTACGAGGTGGAAGCCATGGCTGAGCATAGTCCCGACGACGAGCGTTAGTGGCAACAGTGGGAGCTTGGAAGCGCCACGCATTCGTCTAGTTTCGTTTATTTATTTTGGAAGGAGTTAGGTTTTTTTGTTGTCGACGCGCTCGTTATTGCGCAATACCCTTCTGCTCTCCGCTCGATCTAACCAGACACAAAGCTTAAGCCATTTTTTCCTCCCATTTCCTAAGCTCCCATTAGGGTTCCGCGGCGTTTGGAGACTTAAGCTCACTATCTAATCTCTACAGTGCAAGAAAGCTGTATATCGTTCCTTCTGAGTTTTTGCGCTGCCGTTTCTTGCACATATACCGTTGAAATAGGCTCATTTCCAAGACTCGCCGGCCCGGGATAAATAGCTAGCTGCGAAGAGTACAATCCCGCTGTAATCCGGTTACCAAATACTGCTCGCTGATTTTCGGAGAGAGAGAGAGCTGAGTTCGCTGTGACTTCCGACACCGGTCGCTCCGGTCATGAATAACGGGGGCGGAGCGCTCCCCGGCTCGCCGGAGGTGAGTCACGCTTGCGCGGATTTTCGGCATAATTCGTTAGAAAAATATCCGTCTTTTCGGACACCAGTTACAACGGTCATGAATAACGGGGGCGGAGCTCTCCCCGGCTCGCCAGAGGTGAGTCACCCTTGCTGCTTGCCCCCTACTCGAGGGGTGTTTTGAGAGCCTACCCGTGACAGGCAGAATATGCTTCATCCCTCCTAAGGCGTAGTTTTTTAGGAGAGCTTCGTCTTGTCGGGCAGCGGCTACTACGGTCATGAATAATGGCGGCGGAGCTCTCCTCGGCTCGCCGGAGGTGAGTCATGCGTGCGCGGTGATGAAAACGGAGGCGAGTGACCTGTGAGGTTCGCCCGCAACGAAAAGCGCGTTTTGATATGTGTCGTGTGACATTGTAACGAGGTGGCTTTTGAGTCGACTCAAAAGAGCGCTCCCGGTGGTGAAAACGGAGGCGAGTGACCTGTGTGTGTGATTCGCCCGCAACAAGAAGCGCGTTTTTTTGTGCCGTGAAAGCCGAGCGCCTGTTTATAACGTCGCAAAGCACGCCTCCCCTCGTCCTTCCCTTCCCTCCCGTCTGCTCTCGTTTCCTTCTCCTTTCACCTCTTTTCCTCCTCCACCTTCCCCTTTTTGCTGCCGCTGGTGGAGTTTTATCCAGAGGCGTCTTATCAAGAGGCGCCTTCCGTTTCCCATTCCTCCCCATCCCTTCCCCCTTCCCGCCCCGTTTTCCACCTTTCCCGTTTGCTTCCCCCTCCCCCCCCCCCCCCCCCCCCTTCTCCCCGTGCGCCAGCCATGGGTGGAGCGCGAGTTGGAGAAGCGCATGGGCCAGCTGCTGCCGCTGGTGGAAGAGTCCTTCTCCGTTGCTTCCTCCCTTGCTAAGGTCTGTTGTGCCGCCCTTTTTTTTCTTTTCTTTTTTACCATATACGAACCTCTCTCTGGGTGGCTCTCGCATCGCCTCGGCATATCGCCTTTGCTATACGTTCGGCATGCATGCGCACCTGGTGCACTCACATGCACACGCAAGGTCGCATCCACATGTGTACTCGTCCATGATCCATGTGCCATCTCCATATGTGGTTTCTCCATGTAACCCCCCCTTCTCCACCCCCACCCCCCCCATCCCCCCGCCCCCTATCTCCCCTTCCTCCCCCCCCCCCCCCCCTCCTCCCCCTCCCTCCTCGTTCTCCATCAGCTGTTCGTCCCCCCAAAGTGCCGAAGAGCCAAAGAACCAAATTCGTGTGTAATGAGTCGATTTTTTAGTCGACTCAAAAATCGACTCATTACACACCAAAGAACCAAATTTACAAGGGCCCAGCTATTGGTGCCATGGAATCGCTTTAAAAAGCAGCTGCTTTTGAGTCGACTCAAATCCAGGGCCCAGCTGTTGATGCTGCCCTGGAGGATTGTTCCACAGCGCCGCAGCACTATGAACAGGATGACATGGTATTTTTTAGAATCTCAAAAATACCCTGCAGGGCCGCAGCACTATGAACAGGATGACGATATACTCGGAAGCGCCCTCTGACACCAACTCCACCACCTACCCCTCCGCCCCCACCCCCAGCCCCAGCCCCCTCTTTCCCCCCCCCCTCACCCCCCCCCCCTTACCCCCCGCCTCCCCCCCCTACGGCAATTTGTCCAGGACCCGGGTGTCGATGCTCTGGTAGCGGACGACGACATGTGTTGAGACGCTTCATATCACAATCCCATGTTCCTCCCCACTTCCCCCACTTCCCCCCCCGCCCTCCCCCCCCTACGGCAATTCGTCCAGGACCCGGGTGTCGATTCGCTAGTAGCCGATGACGCCCCAGTCTATGCTGCCGAGAAGACGCATCCTCACTCCAATCATGCTTGCACTTGCATGCATGCACTTTGCCTATCTGTCCTCCCCAGTCCTCCTCCCCCACACCCCCCCCCCTCCCCCCGCTCCCCCTCTCCCCCTCCCCCCCCTCCCTCCGCGCAATAGCAATGCGTGCAGGACCCAGGTGTCGACGCACTGGTGGACGACGACGATCCGTTTTGAGACGTTTCATATCACGATCCCATGTCCCCCCCCCTTCCTCCACTCCTCCCCCCCACCTCCTTCTCTCCTCCCCCCCACTTCCCCCACTCCTCCCCCCTTCCTCCTTCTCTCCCTCCCCCCAACAGCAATTCGTGCAGGACCCAGGTGTCAACGCGCTGGTGGACGACGACACGGCCTATGCTGTTGCTCACGCACACATTCACACACCAGCATGTGCACATTTGCCAAGAGTGTATTTTTTAGGCGCCTCAAAAATAGACATCCACACACCAGCATGTGCACATTTGCCAAGAGTGTTACCTCCATGTGTCCTCCCCCCCGCCCCCCTCGCCCGCCCCCTACCCCTTCTCTCCCCCCCCCCCCCTCCCTCCTGCCGCCAACAGCAATTCGTGCAGGACCCAGGTGTCGACGCACTGGTGGACGACGACGACACAGCCTATGCTGTTGAAGAGCTTGTAGCGGATCTCGCCTCCAAAGGTGAGCCTGCTTGTAACGCGGATGTGGTGTTCTCTGTGCGAACCTGCCCGTAGTGATATCATCTAGTGGACGATGACGACACGGCCTATGCTGTTGGAGAGCTTGTAGCGGACCTGGCTTCTAAAGGCGAGTCTTCTTGTAACGAGGATACAAGGCGATCCTACTTGTAACGAGGATACAAGGTGATCCTACTTGTAACGAGGATGGCAGGCGTTCCTGGCTTTTCCTTCCCGTCCCTTCCCTCTCTCCCTTATTCATGACATGACATGCATCCCAGGTGCCGCGGATCTAGACGACGCCCTGCCGCAGTATGGGTCGGAGCAACGCAGGTTACTCCAATTGTTGCCCTCCCTTTCCTCTCGTGTTCAACAACAGGCATCCCAGGTGCAGCGGATCTAGACGACGCTCTGCAGCAGTATGGGTCGGAGGACATTGCGGAGTCGGTGGTGGCGTACTTCGACGTGCTCATGGCGGCTGTGGACGGACACCTGGAGAAGGAGGGCGCAAGTGAGGGAGCGAGTGAGAGAGGGAGTGAGGGGGGGAGTGGAAGCGATGGGAGCTTCAGAAGGGGAAGGAGGGGTGTGGGGAGAGGCACGGGGAGCGAGAGTGGGAGTGGGAGTGAGGAAGGGAGTGTGGTGGAGGATGGGGAGGAGGGGGGGGTGTATGAGGCGAGAGGAGGGAGGGGGGAGGGGGAAGGGGAGGGATGGATGGGGCTAGGCATGAGAGGGGGGGGAGTAGAGGTAGTGAGTCGTGGGATGACGAAGGGGAGGCAGGGGAGGAGGGGGATAGTTACGGGGAGAGTGAGGAGGAGGAAGAGAGGGGAGGAGGGGGGGGAGAGGAGCGGGTGCGGGTGTGGGTGTGGGAAGAGGAGTAAAAGCAGGAGGAGGAGGGGTAGGAGGAGGAGGAGGAGGAGGAGGAGGAGGAGGAGGAGGAGGAGGAGGAGGAGGAGGAGGAGGAGGAGGAGGAGGAGGAGGAGGAGGAGGAGGAGGAGGGGGGCGGATGGGAATGGATGTGGATGATATGGATGGGGAGGAGGGGGTGCTGGACGAAGAGGAGGCAGATATGAGAGATGAGGAAGCAGACGAGATGGGGTATGGGAAAGAGGAGGGGGGGGTGGGGAGGATGTGGGGGGATGAGGACCGAGGGTTAGAGGTGGTGGAGGAGGAGGATGAGGAGGAATTAGAGGAGGATGAGAGAGAGGAGGGGGAGGGGCGTGGAGAGGGCAAGCCGTTCGGTGTTGGAAGGGTGAGTTTCCGAGGGGTGGGGGGGAAGGGGGGGTATGGGGAGGAGGAGGGGGGGAGTGAGGTGGAAAGTGGGAGTGAGATGGGGAGTGGGAGCGAGAGGGGGGGTGTTGACAGGGGTGATGTAAGAGACGATGATATGTCGATGAGTGGGGGGGAGGAAGGGCGGATGGGGGGGAGAGAGGGGTCGGGGGATTGGACAGAAGATGAGGAGATGGGGGAGGGGGAGGGGGGGAGGAGGGGTTGAGTGGGAGTGATGGGGAGGGGGCAATGGGGCGAGTGGGCGTGGCGGGGAGAGGCATGGGCAGAGGAGTAGGAATGGGAGGAGTGGGAAGAGGAGTAGGGGGAGTGGGAGGAGTGGGAGGAGGAGGGGAAGGAGGAGAGTCGGATCAAGGGTCATTTGATGATGCTGATGATGATGACGACGATGACGATGATGATGACGACATTCCTTTGGCAGTACCAGGAAGGGAGTACCTATCCGGCTCAGAAGAGAATGAGGAGGGAGAGGAGGAGGAGGCGCCAGGTGATACTGGCAGTGTGATTATACACGATGGTATCAGCGCTGCAGGCTCGGCCCGGGGCTCCTTCCGAAGCTCGATTGTCGACTCGGGGTCATTCCGGGGCTCCGTTGGAGGTTCGGGAAGGAGTGGGGTTGGACCGTACCAGAGCTCAGGTATGGAATTCCGGGAACTGGAGGAGGGGGGAGATGGTCTGGATGGTATCGACGATGATGATGACGACGACGATGACGAGGATATCCCGCTTGCCGAAGCTGGAGGTTCGGGGGAGTACGGGTCAGGTTCGGATAGCGATGTGGTGCCGATCGCGCAGCCGGGGAGGGCGCCGGACCTGGAGGGGGGAGGCTTGGACGATTCCCAAGGAGAGGAGGAGGGTTCGTTTGGGGAGGGGGATTCTCAGCTAGAGGGTGATTCCGTAGGTGAGGGTGACTCACAAGGGGAGGGCGATTCTCAGGGGGAGGGTGAGTCTCAGGACGGCATGGGGTCGCAGGAAGAGGCTGGTTCTGCTACTCCTGAGAGTGTTTCAGGGTCGGGTGAAGACATGGGGGAGGAGGATGATGATGATGATGATGATGATGACGACGACGATGACGATGACAGTGATGACGATATTCCTATTGCCATGGTGAACCTGTCAAGTCACAGCAACAACAACAGCTTCGGCAGCACGAGAGGCAGCGGCGGTGCTGGTGTTGCTGCTGGTGCTGGTGCTGGTGCTGGGACTCTTGCTGGTGCTGGTGGCAGCAGCAGCAGCAGCAGCAGCAAGCACGATCAGCCACACATTCCAGCTGCAATCAAGGCTTTAAGGTCTCAGCACTTTGACGTTCCCCACAAGCCGCTTACAGGGTCAGGCGGGATGGGCAGTCCGAGAGTCGCCGCCCTCAGCCGCCCGGGCGCAGCCGGGTTCATCCGTCCAATGCCGCCCACCGCCGGCCGCGTCAACTCCTTCTCCGTCTTTTCCGAGCCGCCCCAAAAGCTGCCGACCAACCGGGTAAACTCGTTCTCTGGACACCGTTTGCAGGGGGATGGGCCGCCTCTAACCCCTACCCCCCCCCCGCACCCTCACCCGCCCATGTCGGAACGAGATAGGCTCCTAGCCGCACGAGTTAACTCCTTCCAAATGCGAGGGGTTAGCAGTCCCCGCGCTGCTGCTGCTGCTAATCGAGTCAACTCGTTCTCCCACCCGCCTAGTGGCCTGGCTTCGCCACAAGCTATGGTCGCAGGGCGGGTGAACTCCTTCAACGTGGACTCGAGGCCGGGGACTGGGGGCAGTGCGGGTGGGTTTGTGTCCTCCCCGCTTGCCAATCGGGTGAACTCGTTTCAAGGGGTGGGGCTCGGTGTTAGGGGAGGAGGGCTCACCCCACAGTCACCAGGAGGGCTGGGAGGACTGGGAGGCGAGACAGGGGTGGGGCACGGGCGAGGGTCTGTTGGTTTGGGCGGTGGTAGGTTCGGAATGGGTGTTGGGAGGGGGAGGGGGAGTGGTGTGGGTAGTGGCGGTGGTGGTAGTGGTGGTATGGGTGGGTTGTTGCCCCCTACCCCTTCGACTTATGGTAAAGGGGGAAGGAAAGACGAAGAGGAGGAGGAGGAGGAGGAGGAGGAGGAGGAGGACGGGGAGGAGGAGGAAGGGAGAGGGAGGGGTAGAATGTCTGGGAGTGAGAGTTGTAGTGAGGAGGAGAAGGGGAGTGGCAGCAGTGGCAGGAGCGGCAGTGAGAGGGCGGTAGAGGAGGAAGAGGAGGAGGATGAGGAGGGGAGCAGTGAGGAGAGGAGCGAGGAAGAGGAGGGAGCGAGTGGCGAGGAGGGGATGGGCGGGAGAGCAAGAGGGAGGTTTGGAGGAGGCGGAGAGAGTGGGAGTGAGAGTGAGGGGGGGAGTCGCAGTGAGAGCCGTAGCAGGAGCGGGAGCGACAGGGGCAGTGGGAGTGATAGATCTAGGTCGGATGACGAGGGTTATGGTGATGAAAGAACCGATTCTGCTCTTGCGGGTGCGGCTGCTGTTGGTATGGGCAGGGGGCGGGGGAGAGGGAGGGGGAGAGGGCGGGGGATTGAGGGGTGGGCGGGAGGGAAGGCAGGGGGAGGGGGCGCGGGCGGGGTTTGGCCAGGGGGAGAGGGAGGGGGTTGACGCCTTCGGGTGGTGATGGGGAGGAGGGGAGCGGAGGGGAGGAGGTAGGAGATGGGTTGGGACGAGGGAGAGGGAGGGGGAGAGGACGGGGGAGGGGGCGGGGAAGAGGTTTGGAGGGGGAAAGCGAGGGGGTTGTGGGTAGAGGCAGGGGAAGGGGGCGGGGGAGAGGGGAAGGGTTAGAGGGACGGGGGAGAGGGAGAGGGGACGGGATGGAGGGGAGGGGGCGAGGGGAGGGGCGGGGGGAAGGTGTGGAGGGGCGAGGGAGGGGGAGAGGGAGGGCGGGAGAAGGGGGGGTTGTAGCGGGCCGTGGGTTGACAGGCAGGGGCCCTGGTCGAGGCATTGGGAGGGGGTTGGGGCGGGGAGGGAGAGGAGCGGAAGGGGAACTAACCCTAGACACAACAGGAGCAGGAGCAGGAGCAGGAGGGGTGGGAGCAGGATTGGGGAGGGGACGCGGGCGAGGGATAGGAGGAAGGGGAGTGATAGGGCGTGCATTCGTGCACACGGATAGTGACCCGGGCTTGGACAGAGCCCCAGGGGGGTCCATGGACATAGACGACGCCATGGCTCTGTACGGCCGTGCGCCGACCCTGCCCATAATGAGACAAGTCAATGCCAGCCCAACGCAGCACGCGCCGCCGCCCCTGCCGACCGTCCCCTCACCTGCAGGCAGTGCTGCGGGGGGGGTCAGCAGAGGGGGGTCTACCTTCCCCAGGCCTACCTCCACTGGGTCTGCCTCCCCTGGCTCTGCCGCGGTCTCTCCTGCTGCGGGTGCAGGTGCAGCAGGGGGGGGTGTATCCATGTCTCCCAAGCCCTTCCCCCCGACAAGAGACGGCAGGAGAAGCGGATCCTCGGGGGGGAGCGGAGGGGCGGGGCTGGGAACAGTGGTGGAAGAGGGGGGTGCGAGACAGGTGGGGGGGGAGAGGGCGGAGGAGGAGGGACCGAAACGAGTGAGTGTGGGTGTGGGGGAGGAGGTGCTACTCCCACTGGTGCCGACCCCTCCTGGAGGAGGGGCAAAGAAGAGCCCTTGGGGGAGCTTTGGCCGCCGGAGCTTTAAGAGAATTAGCAGTAGGCAAGAGGCGGATACAGAGGCGGAGGAGGATGGGGGAGGGGGAGGAGGAGGGTCATTTGGAAGGGAGAGAGGAGGGGTTATGGGGGTGGTAGGAGCAGGGGTGGTAGCAGGCATGGGTGCTGTTGCTGCTGCTGCTGTTGCTGCTGTGGGAGAGGGGGGAAAGAGAGTGGAGGTGGAGGAAGAGGGAGCGGAGAAGGGAGAGGTGGGAGGAGGAGAGGTAATGCCAGCTGCAGCTGTGGTTGATGATACAGACAGTAGTGATGAGGAGGAGGGGAGGAGGGTGGAGGCAGAGGAGGAGGAGCATGCGGATGGGAGGAGTGTGAGTGGGGAGGAGAGTGAGGGGTCTGGAGTGGGTGGCAAGCGGAAGCTGGGAGTGAGATTTGGGCGGCTGCCCGGGTCCCCCGGGCAGTTTGGGGCAGAAGGAATGGAAGAGGACGTCCGGGGGTCCCCGTCTCGCCGAACCAAGTTGCAGGATGGTTCGGCGGCCGACCAGTGGCAGCTTCGGAAGCAGGGCCAGTCTGGGCCTGGGGATACAGGTCTGGTAGCAGGCTTGGCGGCAGGCTCGGCAGCAGGCTCGGAAGCAGGCTTGGGGGAAGCTGCACATCTGCAGAGCTTCGGAAGCATTGATGTGACAATGAGAGAGGCAGGGAGAGAGGAGGAGGGATTGAAGGAGGGAAGGGAGGGGAAGGAGGAGGAGGGTGTTGGGGAGGAGAGAGGGGACTCTGGTTCGGAGGCCGAATCTGAATCTGGTTCGGAAGGTTTAGGTCCGGTAGAAGGAGCGAAGGGTGAAGATGGAGCGGAGGGAGGGGAGGGCGGTTTGGCAGGTTTTGCATTTGATCGGGAGGAGTCGAGGGGAGAGGAGGAGAGGGAGGGGGGAAGTGAGGGAGCGAGTGAGGAGGGGAGTGAGGGAGGGAGTGTGATCCACGGTGAGTCTGAAGAAGAGCATGACTCCAGGTCTGAAGGCTCGGTAAGAGGCCCGGATCATCACAGGCGAGGCTCGGGAGACTGGACTGGTTCGGAACAAGGTTCGGCCCGAGGCTCGGAGCGAGGTTCGGGACAGTGGTCCGGTTCAGAATATGGGGAGGAGTATGATGAGGAGGGAAGGCCGGTCAGCCGGGATGGTCGTAGGCCTGTGAGCCGAGACGGGAGGCGTGTAAGTTATGGTGAGGAGGGGAGGCCGATAAGCCGAGATGGGAGGAATGAGGAGTATGATGAGGAGGGGAGGCCGATAAGCCGAGATGGGAGGCCTGATAGCAGAGATGGTAGGTGGAGGAGAGGAGAGGATAGGTGGGAGGCGGAGGAGTATAGTGGCAGTGAGAGAGGGAGTGATGAGGGGAGTGACCAGCGGAGTGAGGGGGAGGAGGGGAGTGAGAGAGGCGAGGAGGTGGGGAGTGAGAGGGGGAGTGAGAGGGGGAGTGAGAGGGGGAGTGATGAGGGTGGGGGGAAGGTGAGTGGGGAGGAGGGGGAGATAGAGGAGAGGGCGGATCAGGAGTGGCGGGAGTGGGCGGCAGACAGAGAGTCAGACGAGGAGCGGAACACGGAGGATGGGAGGGGGTCAGAGGATGGGAAAGGGTCAGTGCAGGAGCGAGGCTCAGAGGAGGACGAAATGGGTGGGGAGCAGGAAAATGGGTTCAGTGCGGTTGAGAGGCAGGATGGGAAGGGGGGCGAAGGGAGCATCAGCAGGATGATGCCAGTATCGTTGGTGGGGCGAAGGGGGTCAGGTCTGGTGGTTGACGTGGGGAAGCCAAATGATGTGGAGGATGAGGATGAGGAGGAGGGGGAGGAGGTAGGTCACGAGCATGATGATGATGACCATAGTGAGCCTCGCGAGCCCGAGGAGTGGTCAGGTTCGGATAGAGGCTCGGAAAGAGGCTCGGTTGAAGGTTCGGAAGGGCACAGGCTCGGCAGCGACCGTGGTTCGGAGGGTGGTATGACTCCAGAGCTCACACCCCAGGGCAGCTGGAGGGGCGATGAGTTGACCCCTGTGGGCAGTTGGAGGGGCGAGGGGGAACTTACCCCGGTTTGGGGGGGCGAAGGGGAAACTACCCCGGTTTGGAGGGGCGAAGGAGATATCACCCCTCAAGGCAGTGGGAGCTGGAGAGAAGAGGCGGAGAGGGAGGAGGTTTTGACACCTGAGCTAACGCCCCAGGGCAGCTGGAGGGGGGAGTTTTCAGGGAGTGAGAGAGGGGAGGGGTCAGAGGGGGAGAGAGAGGGGAGGTATGAAGAGGAGAGGGGGAGTGAGGGGTCGAGGGATGGGGGCGAGGAGGAGGAGGAGAGGGAGAGGGAGAGGGAGAGGGAGAGGCAGTGGGAAAGTATGAGGGATGAGGAGGAAGAGAAGGAGGGGAGTGTGAGGGTTGAGGATGAGGACATGAGGGAGAGTGAGGGAGAGCGTGAGGGAGAGAGTGAGGAAGAGGAGAGGGAGAGACAATGGGCAAAGCTGCATGCTGGGAGTGAAGAGGGGAGTGAGGGGGCGAGTGAGAGGGGAAGTGAGAGGGGGAGTGTGGGTGAGGTGGAGGAGGGAAGGATGGAGGAGGAGGAGGAAGGAATGCGTGATGGGCTGAAGGGGGGGAAAGGGGAATTGGAAGAGGACGAGAATGAGAGGGGAGGGGAGGAAGTGGAAGAGGAGAGGGAGAGGGAGAGTGCGAGTGAGGAGGAGGACGATGATGATGATGATGTGGTGGTGGTTGCAGCAGCAGCACTGCCACCGTCAGAGGGAGAGGATTCTGATAGGGATGAATACCAAGGCTCAGAAGGAGGCTCGGAGGAAAGCTCGGAAGCAGGCATGGAAGGCTTGAAACCAGGCTTGGAGGATGGAAGAGGTTCGGAAGGTGAGGGGAGGATGGAGAGTGACGAAGAAGAGGAGGCGATGAGAGAACGAGCGGAGGAAGAAGCAGACGAGCATCGTATATGGGAGGAGCAGCAGGCGCAGGAGGGAGGGGAGGGAGGAGAGGAAGGGGAGGAAGGGGAGGAGGACGAAAGCGGGATGAGGAGTGATGACGATGAGCCTAGGGGCGGGGAACATGGAGGGGAGAGTGAGAACGAGGGCAGTGAGAGTGACGACGATGTTGTTGTGGCGGCTACCGCTTCCCTGTCTGCAGGCGAACCTTCCGAGGCCTTTTCTGCCAGTGTACTCTCCCAGGCACCTGTTGGGGCCATGGAGGATTCATCTGTGGAGGGTGCTTTCTCGATGGCACCTGTTGCTGCGATGGGAGCATTAGCAGCAGGAGCAGGAGAAATGGAGGTTGGGGAGGGTGAAGAGGCCGGGTTGTATTCACCAGCTGACTTTCCCCTGCAAGGCAGTGCACCTTCCGCCTTTATCAAGTCTGGTCTTAAAGGAGCAGAAGAGGGGGAGCTTGGGGAGCAGGAGGAGGGGCAGGAGGAGGACGAGGAGGAGGAGCAGGAGGGGAGGGGTGATACGGAGCCTGAGGAAAGAGAGGGGGAGGAGGAGAAGGTAACTTTTGAGTCGACTCAAGAGGAGGGACATGAGGAGGCCGAATTGCGTGGCGAGGGGTCTGAGAGGGAGGAGGAAAAGGGGCGTGAGGAGGAGAGTGAGGAGGAGGAGGTAGATGGTGGAGATTTGGGTAGGATGGAGTCTGATAACGAGCGTGATGGGGAGGAGAGGAAGGAGGGGGAGAGTGAGGAGGAGGGGGAGAGTGAGGAGGAGGGAGAGAGTGAGGAGGGGGGGGAGAAGGGATCTTTTGGTGAATCACCAGGGCTATCACCAGTGGGTGGAGAGAGTGCGTGGAGGGAGGAGGAACGGGAGAGAGGGGCATTGTATGGGGAAGAAGAGGGGGAGGAGGAGGAGGAGGAGAGGGGGGTAGGGAGTGAGGGAGAGAGCGGAGGGGAGGAGAGTGGCACAGAGGAAGAGGGCGGTAGTGTTAAGATGGGCGGTAGTGTTAAGATGGGCGGAAGTGTTAAGATGGGCGGTAGTGATGGAGAGGAGAGTGAGGGGGAGCAGGGTGAGGGGGGAGTGAGAGAGAGGGGGGAGAGTGAGAGGGGGGAGAGTGAGAGGGGGGAGAGTGAGAGGGGGGAGAGTGAGGTGGGGGAGAGTGAGGGGGAAGATAGTGAGGAGGAGGTAAGGAGGGAGAGGCGGCACCAGTACCATCAGAATCAGATGGTGGAAGATGAAGAGGTGGAGGAGGCGGAAGAGGAGGAGGCGGTGGAAGAGGGGGGAGAGGCGAAAGAGGCGTACAAGGAAGGGGAGGGTAGGGAAATGGAGAGGGGATCAGACGAGGAGGGTGAAGAGGAGAAGAGTGAGGGAGGTGAGAGTGAGAGTGAGGGGGGTGAGAGTGAGGGGGGTGGGATGGACTTGGAACATGAGAGTGAGAGGCTTGGCGTTGTAAGGGTGGAGAGAGGAGAGGGGGAGGAGGGGGAGGAGGGGGAGGAAATGGGGGAGGGAGAGGAGAGATATTTTAGGGATGAGAGCCTTGAGAGGGAGGGGAGGGCAGGGAGTGAGAGTGAGGACGAGGAACAGAGGGACGAGGAAGGGGAGGAGAAAGAGGAAAAGGAAATGGAAGCGGACGAGGGAGAGGAGGAGGTTAGGGAAGAGGAGGAGGAGAGGGGCAGGGGCAAGGAGTCAGGCAGTGACAATGATGAGGACGAGGAAGAAAAGGTTGCGACTGGACAGGCGGATCTGGGGGAGGTTTTATCTGTGGAACAGGAGGAAGGTAGGGAAGAGGAAGGGGAGGCTGGGGAGTCAGCTAGTGACGATGAGGGGGAGGTGGTATCTGTGAAAGAGGTGGAAGGGGAGGGTGATTCGGAAGAAGAGGGGCTTTTGGAAGAGGAGGAGACGCCAGAACGGATGTCAGAGGGAGGTGCATCCGGGGAAGGTAGATCTGAGGATGGGGATGAGGAGAAGGCTTGGAGGGGTGAAGGAGAGAGGGGCGATGGGGAAGAGGAGAGGAGAGAGGATGGAGGAGGAAGTGAGGGAGGAGAGAGTGAGGGAGGAGAGAGTGAGGATGTGATGGAGGGTATTGAGAGTGAGGGAGGGGAGGAGAGCAGTGAGGGAGAGTGGGAGGGGAGGAGGGAAGAGTGGGAGGAGGATGAGGAGGGACGGGAGGCTTTGGCCGCTGTTTCGGCAGCTTCGGCAGCAGCAGCTTCGGCAGCAGGTTTGGCGGCAGCTGCGGCTGCTGCTAAGGCTGCCGCAGGAAGACATGGGGATGAGGGGGAGGAGGAAAAGGAGGAAGAAGTGGAGGAGGATGTGAGTTCTTTTGCAGCAGATGTGGATCGGTCTGAGGAAGGTGAGAAGGGGGAACAAGAGGATGAGGAGGCGGATTCGGAGGATGAGGACGAGGGTGAGGAAGAGATCGAGATGGAGGGAAGGGGACACGAGAGAGTGGAAATGGAGAGTGAAGGAGAGAGTGTGGAGGGCCACGAGGCAGCTTGTAGTGAGGATGAGCGAGCAGATGGTAGGGAGGACGAGAGTGAGGAGGGTGGAGGGAGGAGGAGCGAAGAGGAGGACGAGGGAGAGGAGGAAGGGGGAGAGGAGGAAGAGGGAGAAGAGGGAGATGAGGGAGAAGAGGACGAGGGAGAGGAGGGTATTGTTTTCCCTGTGGCGCATGGGAAGGCAGGGGCAGAGCTGGGAGTCGATTCCCCTTCGTTTGAGTCGACGCTTAAGTCTGCCCGTTCCCCTCGAAGCTCTAGCTGGAGCCCCCTCTCCCCCCACGCTGCTGCTGCTGCTCCTCACTCGCACCCTTCGCCGCACCTAGGCACTGGTAGCCTAGGCTCTGCTGCTGCTGGTGCTGCCGCTGCTGCTGCTGCTGCTGCTGCTGCTGGTGTGGTTGCTGGTTTGGCTGTTGGTGCTTCTTCTGGTGCTGGTGATTCTGCTGCTGGTGCTGGTGGCACTGCTGCTGCTGCTGGTGATGCTGCTGCTGCTGCTGCTGCTGCTGCTGCTGCTGGTGCTAGTCCCAGCAGTTTCACGTTCACCCCACATAAACCTTCCCCCTTCGTCTCTTTGCCCATTCCCCCCCGTGCCGGACTGACCCTACTCTCCCCAAGTGCCGCTCTCGCCCTCTCACCCCGCCACCCCCCCTCTCCCCCTCCCCAGCGCCCCCCCCTCCTCACCCCCATTTCGCCGCGGGCACGATTGGCTTCGTATCGAGTGGCAGGGGAAGGGTCGGGGTTTGGTGCGGGGTGGAGTGGGGAGGGAGGAGAGGAGGGGAGGAAGGGCGGGTGGGCTGCTGGAGAGAGGGTGGAGGAGGAGGGTGAGGGAGAGGAGAGAGAGGAGAGAGAGGAGGGAGAGAAGGGAGAGAATGGAGAGGAGGAATGGGAGGAGGATGAGGTGGAAAGGGCGGAAGGGGGAGAGGAGAGGGGGGAGGGAGGAGAGGAAGGAGAGGGGAAAGGAGAGGTGTGGGTTGGGGATGCAGAGATGGAAGGTGAGGAGGTGGAAGAGGGGTTGGAAGGGGTACAGGGGAGTAAGAGCGGGAAGGGGGAGAGTGAGAACGAAGAGAGTGAGAGGATCGAGAGCGAGAGAGACGAGAGTGAGGGAGTGGAGAGTGAAAGAGGGGGGGATGAGGAGAGTGAGAGAGGTGAGAGTGAAGTGAGCGAGGAAATGGGTGCGGAAGGCAGAGAAGCAGTGGAGAGAGGGAGAATGGCCGAGGAGGAAAGTGAGGAGGACGAGGAGCGGAGGGCAGAGGAGGGAGAGGAAGAAGATGAGAGGGAAGGGGATGAGAGGGAAGGGGCGCCAGAAGCAACAGCTGGAGTCGTGGCCGAGGGAAGAGTGACTGATGAAGGTTTATCGGGTTCTGATGAAGATGGGGAGGGAGAGGAGGAGAGGGGCACACGGGGAGAGTACAAGAGGTATGAGGAGAGTGAGGAAGACGAAGAGGGGGGAGAGGACGGAGTAACGGAGAGGTTTAGAAGGAGAGAGGAGGACAAGGAGGAAGAGGAGGAAGAGGAGGAGGAAGAGGAGGAAGAGGAGGAAGGGGAGGAAAGGGAGGAAAGGGATGGTGAATCAGATTCGCTTTTATTCCCAGCCCTCACGCCCCAACCAGACACAGGCTCAGCCGAGCCTTCCCCTTACGTCCGGTCTGTCATGGGCTTCAGGGGAGGTTCGGAAGGGGAAGGAGAGGAGTGGGAGGAGAAGGAAGGGGAGAGGAGAGAGAGGAGGGACTATGACAGGCAGAGTAGCAGGGAGGATGAAGATGAGAGGGAGAAAAGGGAGGAGGTGGGAGAAGAGGAGGATGAGGAGGAAAGGGAGGGGGAGGAGGAGGAGGAGGATGAGTATCGGAGGGAGAGAAGGAAGGGCGTTTTAGAGGATGAGGAGGAAGAGAAGGAGGAGGAAAGGGAAGTGGAGGAGGAGGAGGAGGAGGAGGACGATGAGGGGCAGGATTCAGACAGGCGTTACGATTCTGATAGACGTAACGACGACTCCGAAGGGCGTTACGACTCTGACAGACGTAACCGTAACGACTCGGACGGGCGTTACGACTCTGAAGAGCGTTACAGATCGCATCGGCGTTACGACTCGGGGCAACGGTACGACTCGGGGCAACGGTACGACTCGGAGGCACAAGGGGAGGAGGAGGAAGAAGAAGACAGGGATAGGCTCGGCAGAGATGAGAAAAGGAGAGGAGATGGGGAAAGGTGTAGAGATGAGGACAGGAGGGGAGATGAGGACAGGAGGGGAGATGAGGACAGGAGGGGAGATGAGGACAGGAGGGGAGATGAGGTCAGGAGGGGAGATGAGGTCAGGAGGGGACGATCTGGGGAGGATGGAGAGGACAGCTATGGTACCGACGATGACAGGCGTGACACGCGGCGAGATAGGGAGGATGCGCGAGACGATAGCGAAGATAGCAGGTCCAGTAGGAGGGATGATGAGCGACGGTATGGGAGGGATGGGAGAGATGGGAGGGATGGGAGGGAGGAAGATGATGGTGATAGGTTTGGCAGGAGTGACGGGGATGAGGAGGAGGAAGAGCAAGTGGGAGAGAGGAGGAGGTATAGAGAGGAGACAGGCAGCGAGGGGAGTGAGAGAAGGTACAGTGAGGACGGTGAGGAAGGGGAGGAGGGGGATGACGGTGAGGAAGGGGAGGGGGGTGAGGCGGGTGAAGAAGGAGAGGAAGGGAGGAGGTACAGAGACGACTCGGAATCCGACCTCTCGCCTCTTGCTGTTGCTGCAAGCACTGCTGTGACAGCTGCTGCTGTTGCAGCAGGCTTGAAGGCTGGTGTGAGGGCTTGTGCGGAGGAGGACACGGCAGGAGAGGAGGAGGAGGAGGAGGAGGAGGGTGAAGGGAGAGAGCGGGGTGAGGAAGAAGAGGAGGACGAAGGCGAGGAGGAGCGGGACAAAGAGGAGGAGAATGAGGGGGAGGAGGAGGAGGAGGAGGAGGATGAGGGGGAACAAGGTGAGGAAGGAGCTCGAAAGGAGGTCAGGCGGGAGCGAGAGGGGGAGGAAGAGGCGAGGGATGGGAGGCGCCCGGCTATGGAACCAGTACCCGAAGGACAAGAGGTGGATCTGTCACGCTACTCTGCTGCTGGCGCCGCTGCTGCTGGTGTGAAGGGACTAGGAAATTACGCGGAAGACAAAGAAGAGGAGGAGGAGGAGGAAGATGATGATAGTGAGGATGATGAGGACGATGAGGATGTGCCGTTGGCCTTAGCAGCTGACCCGATCGCAGCAGAAGCGCTGGCGGAGAGGCGGCGGAGGAGAAAGCGGGAGCGGCGGGAGCGGCGGGCGCGGCTGCGGCAGCAAGAGATCAGCGCTAGGATCAGTGGGTCAGGGCACGAGAGCGACTCGTCGGCTATGGAGTGGCGGACGGAGGAGGAGGAGAGGCGGGCAAGGGGAGGTGTGGCCGCAGGGGTGCTGGTGCTCGGAGGGGCGGTGGTGAAACTGACTGGGACGGGGGCAGGGGAGGAGCCTTTGACGTCGGATGCTGGGGCTGGGGGGATGGGAAGGGGTATAGGGGGATTGGGAGGGGCGGGAGGGGGGACGAGAGCAGGGGTGCCTGTGGTGGCAGTGGTGGATGAGGGAGGGGGGCCGGGGAGGGGGTGGGAGAGGGAGGTATGGCTGGAGGTGGGGCGAGGGGAGGGGAGGTAGAACTAGAGCAAGAGCCGGAGTCCCCTGCTGTGGTGGTGAAGCCTGGGCCGGGGCTGTTTGATATGGGAGGGGAGGGGATGGGAGCGGGAGGGATGGCTGGGGCGGTTAAGAGTGGTAGGAAGGGAGAGAAGGGTTTGAGGGAGAGGAGGGGCAGGAAGGGGAGGCCGGTGAGGACGATGAGTGATGGTAGGGGGATGTTGGAGAGAGTGAGGGTGGGAGAGGGGGAGGAGGAGGAGGAAGGGGAAGGGGAAGGGGGAGAGGGGGGAGAGGAAGGTGGAAGGGGGGTGAGGGGGGGGAAGTGAAGGGGGGAGGGATGATGGGAGGAAGCAGACGGAAGGGGACTTGGGATGGGGCGAGCCCGTTGGGTGCTGGTCCTGGTGCCTGGCGGTTTGGCACCCAAGAGGAGGTGGGTATGAGAAGTCCCTACAGAAAAGTAGCAGAAGAGGAGGAGGAAGAGGAGGAAGAAGAGGAGGAGGAAGAGGAGGAGGGGATGGAGACAATGCAAGCGCTGGGAGGAGGGTACAACGACTTCGACGTAGTCACGGACATCACAGGTGTGACCGACGCTGATAGCCAAGTGCCTGTGGCCTCAGCCTACCATGGCTACCATGCCCCCCTTGACAACAACGCCCCCCAAGACTACAACGCTGCTACTGCTTTTGAGTCGACTCAAAAGCATGCCTACCGCGACTCTTATGCTGCAACTGACATCACCGGTATCACGGGGATTACAGAGGCCACGGACGCTGATAGTCAAGTGCCTGTGGCGCCTATACTTGTGTCTGTTGGTGCTGGCGCCGCTGCTGCTGCTGCTTTTCCTGTGAGAGAAGAGGAGGAAGAGGAGGCAGAGGTGGAGGAGGAGGATGAGGAGGAGGAAGAGGAGGAGGAGGAGGAGGAGGAGGAGGAAGAGGAGGATGAGGATGTGCCTGTAGCAGGTGCCATCCATTCGCCATTGCAGCGGGGGAGCTCAGTGAGCAAAAGTGCACTGGAAATACTACCAGCTGAGGCGCTTCCCCCCAGTGGCAGCACCACCCCGGCCTCCTCCTTTGATACAGTGGGCTTCGGACGGGTCCCAATGGGCTTTGGACGCTCGGAGTGTGGGGAGCAGCAGAAGCAGAGGCAGAGGCAGCAGCTACAGCAGCAGCAGCATGGGGAGGAGAAGGGAAGGGAGGAGGACGAGGACGAGGAGGAGGATGAGAGAGGGGAGAGATTGGAAGAGAGACACAAGGTAGAAAGAGGGGGGGGTTCAAGAGATGAGGAGGAAGAAGAGGAGGAAGAGGAGGAGCAAGAGGAGGAGAAAGAGGAAGAGAATGAGGAGGCGAATGAGGAGGAAGGAGAGGAAAGAGAGGAGGGAGTTGGTTATGGCTCTCCTGTGCACGCTGATTATGACACCCCTACGCATGCTGATTATGGTACCCCAGCGCACGTGGCTCGGAGATTCCCTCGAATGGAGAGCGAGGGTGGAGCGAGCGACATCAACGCACCCATTGCCATGCCTGCTAGTGTCTCCCCGGTGGGAGAGAATGCTTGGGGAGCGGAGGGCGAAAGGGACCAGTGGGCAGAGGATCAAGGAGAGAGTGTGGGTGAGGAAGATGAGGGGGTGAATGAGGAAGAGGAGAGGGAGAATGAAGAAGAGGAGAAGGCGGAGGAGGAGGACGACGAAAAGGAGGGCGAAGGAAAGGAGGCTGGAGAGGAGGACGGAGCGGAGGAAGGGGAGGAGGAATGGTCATCGGACGAGGCAGGCGAGGACAGGGACTCGGTCGCGGAATCAATGCAGATTGGGTCAAGCGAGGGAGGAGCCATCAGAGGGTCCATGGAGAGAAGGTCAGGGAGGAAGTACCGGAGAACGCTCAGTGAGGCCAGTGATGCTGATGCCCCCGTTGCCATGCCAGTCACAGCAGCAGCAGCAGCGGCGCAGCATGGGGGAGGGGAGGATGGGAGCTCGGACATGGGCGATGGGGAGTCGGAAATCGGAGTGCCGATAGCGATGCCGATGGATCCCACTCCTAGAAGACGAGCGGACGGGACACGAGATGCTGGTGGTGCTGCTGCTGCTGGTCGCGGTGGTGGGGGCAGGGAGGAGGATGGAGAGTGGGAGGGGGAGGAGGATGAGGAGGGAGAGGATGGGGGGCGGAGGGACGGTCGTTGCATGGACGAGGAGAGTGAGCTGGACGCGCCTATTGCCATGCCGCTAGCCATGATGGGAGCAGGGGGGAGCGGCAGCGGGAGGAGCAGCAGCGGCGGTGGCGGTGGTATGGGGCATGGTGGTTGGTCGGGCAGTGGAGGCCGGATGGGGAGTGGTGTTGCTGACGCCATCAGGGCCGGGGTTATAGATATGGATGATGGCATGAGTGTGCAATCCAGCGAGCTTGCCGCACCTATTGCCATGCCTGTCGACGACAGCTTCGGCAGGACGCCCGAGGCTACGGACGAGGCTCGGCGACGAGCGCCGAACCACGGGTACGCCCCTCCGCTTTCCCGCCACATGCCCCCTGTTGCTTCCACCACGTCTACCCCGCGCAAGCCTAAGCACCTTCAGAGTCAGAGATCTCTCAACCAGAACTTCCCAAGCCCACTGCAGCAGCAAAGTCAGCAGCACAGTCAGCAGCAGCAAAGCCAGCAGCACAATCAGCAGCAGTCGTACCAGCAGCATTTGAGGGAGCAGCAGCACTTAGAGTCTCCCAGGCAACCACACGCCCACCCTCATTCCCCATCCTCCTTTGGCCTCTCCCCTGCCTTTGGTCGACCCAGGGCTCCAGCACAGGTTCGGGCTCTAGCCGCGGAAGGCCGAACCGGAGGACCAGGTTCGGCCCATTCTTCTCCAAGGGGTGGAGGTCCGGGGTCGAGAGCCTCATCAGCTGCAGGATCGCCGAGGGAGAGAGGGAGGATGGATGGGGGGCAACGCTCTTCGTCCTTCAGAGGTCCCGCCCGGTACGAAACAAAATCAGCTTCTTTTTTCTCTTGGTTTCTTTCTCGCCCTTGGTTCCGGAACATGCTCTCTCCTCTTTCCTCTTTGCTCTTTCAAGCTCCTGCCCTGGACGTTATGGCTCTCTTCTTTCTTCCTCTTTCATCTCGTTTCCTTTTTTATGGCCCTGACCGCACTGCCCTGGACGTTGTGAAGTGATTGTGCCTTTGCCTCTACATCCCCTGCCCTGTTCTTTCCTTTCCTCCCCTTAATCCTCCTCTTTTTCTCTCCCCCCACTCCATGCTTCCCCTCCAACCCTCAGAACATCAAGCCTGCATTCGGAAGCAGGAGGGCAGGTTCGGCACAGCCCCGGCAAGGACACGGACGCAGCAGCAGAGGGCGCACAGGTGGCACGAGGCGGGTCCTTATCCAATCGCCACGCTGGCAGCCAGGCTGGCAGCCGAGCTGGCAGCTTAGCTGGCAGTCCCAGCAGCAGCGGACGTGGGGGGGGTAATGGTGTTGATGGGGTTGGTGTTGGTGGTGGCAGTGGGAGAGTGGCAGCAGGAGCAAGCAGTCTGGGGCCTGGTAGTGCTGCGTCCACCCCATCTGCAGGTGCTGCTGCTTCACCTGCTGCTGCTGCTTCGACTGCTGCTGCTGGTGCTGGTGCTGCATCGGGTTCTGTCACACCTCATTCTGTCACGCCGCTTTCAGTCACACCCACCGGTGCCGGGGCTACTTTTGATTCTTCCGAGCCTCCGACACCCATTGCCCAACCTGCTGGGCCTTATCCCGAACCTCCAACTCCCATTGCACAGCCTTCCGCACCTTATGCCGAGCCTCAAACTCCCATCGCCCAACCTGCCGAGCCTTATCCCGAACCACCAACCCCTATTGCCCAACCTGCCGAGCCTTATCCCGAGCCTCCAACTCCCATCGCCCAACCCGCTGAACCTTATGCCGAACCTTCCGAGCCTCCTACGCCAATCGCCAGACCTGTGTCCCCTCCCAAGCCTGCTCCTGCACCTGCTCCCGAACCTGTTAAAGCCCCTGCCCCTGCTCCCTCTCAGTCCCAAAACCCTGCAAAACCCTCGCATCATGCTGCTACATCCAGTTCTAGTTCCACTGGAATTTCTGCTACAGCCACTGCTACAGCTGCTGCTGCTTCTACTGCCACAAGTGCTGCTCCCTTGACCCCTGCAAGTGACAGCGACAGTGGGAAACTGTGGGAGGACGATGCAGCAGGGGCCAAGCGGCTTGCTGCTGCTGCTGGAGCTGGGAAGAAGAAAAAGAAGAAGTCAAAGTGGTTCATGTGCTTTGGCCCCCCTTCTGCTGTTGATGACTAGTGTAGGTTGCTCTTGTGTTGCTGTTTTCTCAACTTGCTATAATCTCTGATATATCAGCAGCTCAGCCCACTGCTGCTAGCTTTTGTTGGTGCTATTGGCTCTGCAATAGGCGTTAGATCGATGTTGTACTACTCACGTGTGAGTGCTCATTGCATGTATTCTGTAGCTAGGTGTAAGAAATCTTACTAACCTATTCGTTTTTCAACCGATGGTTCTTGTCAGTTTTAAGGGTACAATGCAGTGTCTTCGAAGTGTCATGCGTGTAACACAGTTGTACTGTTGTAAGGAAAATCCCTTTTCCTTACTGCGCTCGACTACAGCGCGTACGCCCTCGACTCTCGGAAGTCCATGTCAACAAATATAATTGTCTATGCTAGGTATATAATATTTGTTATAGCCTTAGTTAGGTCAGTTCTTAGAGGGTACATTCCCACCTTTGTAACCCTCAGCTTTCCTCCCTTAGTCAACTTTTTCTCTCGACATTCTAACATGGTATCAGAGCTAGGTCTCGCCCTCTACTCTCGCTTCCGCCCTAGCACACCCTAGCCTAGCGCGCCTCGCCCCTAGTTGCGCGCCTTGTAGATCGTCCCCTCCCCGCCCTCGTCTGCTCATCGCGTAGCTCGCGTCGGCTAGCGCCAGCCGCCACCAGCTAGTGCCGACCAGCGCCAGCCGCCGCTAGCCCGCACCACATTGGCGCCTTCGTTAGTCGCCGATCCCCCCCCCCCCCCCCCCGCTCGATCGTAGCTCGTCCCTGACGCCAGCGCCAGCCAACCCGCCAGCGCCAGCCAGCCCGACAGCTCGCCAGCGCCAGCTCACCTGCGTTAGCCAGCACCAGCTCGCCAGCGCCAGCTCGCCATCATTAGCTCGCTAGCCCCTGCCAGCAGTTTGCCGCCAGCACCAGCTAGCCCAGCCCCCAGCTCGTGCCAGCTAACTGCTAGCCGCCAGCGCCAGCTCGCCAGTGCCCGCACACCAGCACCAGCTAGCCAGCGCCAGCTCGCCAGTTCGCCAGCTGCTAGTCGCCAACGCCAGCTCCTAGCCGCCAGCTCCTAGCCGCCAGCTGCTAGCCGCCAGCTCGCCAGCTACTAGCCGCCAGCTGCTAGCCGCTAGCTCGCCAGCTGCTAGCCGCCAGCGCCAGCTCGCCAGCTACTAGCCGCCAGCGCCAGCTCGCCAGCTGCTATCCGCCAGCTTCTAGCCGCCAGCGCCAGCTCGCCAGCTCCTAGCCGCCAGCTGCTAGCCGCCAACTCGCCAGCTACTAGCCGCCAGCTCGCCAGCTGCTAGCCGCCAGCTCGCCAGCTGCTAGCCGCCAGCTGCAGCTCGCCAGCTGCTAGCCGCCAGCTCTAGCCGCCAGCACCAGCTCGCCAGCTCCTAGCCGCCAGCTGCTAGCCGCCAGCTCGCCAGCTCCTAGCCGCCAGCTGCTAGCCGCCAGCGCCAGCTCGCCAGCACCCGCCCTCCGCTTACCCGCACTAGTCAGCAGCGCCAACTGACTACACTGCTCGCCAGCTGCCATTGCCAGCGGCGCCTCTCCGCTGCAGCCACTGCCTCTGCCACTGCTGCAGCTTGCTCTGCCGCCGCGGCCACTGTTGCAGCTGCTGTTGCCACTGCCGCTGCATCCGCTTTAGCTGCCGCTGCTACCACTGCCACAGCCGCCACTGCCGCTGCCGCCACTTCCCTTGCAACCGCCGCTGCAGCCACTGCCCTTGCAGCTGCTACTGCCGCTGCTGCCCTTGCAGCTACCACGCCGCCCCCTGCAGCTGCCCCTGCCGCTGCAGCCCACACTGCCACTGCAGCCGCTGCTGCCACCACTCCCGCGGCTCGCCCGTACCCACGTAGCCGCCTCCGCTAGCCAGCTCACTGCTGGCCTGCTGCCATCCTCACCTCGCTGCTAGCTAGCCGCCCTCGTTGCCACCAGCTCCTGTAGCAGCCGCCCCAGCTGTTCTTGCTTCTGCCGCCACTGTCTTTCTGGCCGCAGCTGCCAGCATGGCATCGCCTGGCGTCTTCGTTCTGCGCCTAGATGGGGAGGGGCGGACAATCGGTTTCGCCGCCTGGCAGGAGGCAGTTCTCCTTCAGCTCACGAGTCAGCGCGTCGACGATGAGTCTTTGGACGCCCACGTCTCTGGTGAGCTCCCCACTATCCCTCGCCCCGGCGCTCCTGCTCATGACGCGACGTCTGAGCAGCAGGCTGTGCACGCTGCTGCTCGTACTGCCTACTCCATCTGGGCGTCTCGCGACGCCACTGCTCGAATCGCCATCCTCAGGTGCCTGCCGGTTGCCGAGCACTCCCACTTTGTGGGTGCTGCGTCAGCCCGCGCCCTCTGGCTGGCTATCCTAGCTAGGTACTCCACCCCGTCGTCTGCCACTCTTGGTCGCCTCCTCCTCCCTTTCTTCCACCCTGATCTGATATCGTTCACCACTATAGCAGACTTAGTCGAGCACCTACGTTCTCTCAAGGCTCGCTGGCGTGCGGCCCGTACTAAGGCCCAGCTAGCGCTCGCCCCGCCCCCCCTCTTCGCCACTGTCGACTTCCTTGTCACCCGCCTCCCTGACCGCCTAGCCCCTGCCCGTGACGCGCTCCTTGCTCGTCACCCCTTTGAGCTCACCATTGACCTCTTCTCCACCTCCCTGACTGAGATAGAGGACTGCCTCCGCGCTATCGCCGGTTCCACTGGCACGCCGGCGGTCCCTATTATTCAGGGCAGCGCTCCCTCCCCAGTAACAGTCCCTGCCTCCGCCTCTGTAGTTGAGACAGCAGCGGCTACCCCTGCCCCCGGCCGCTCATCTGGCGGCAAGGGCAAGGGCAAAGGGGCCGAGGGTCGTGGGGGGTCGGCAGCAGCAGGTGGAGGGGATGAGGGTGCGGATGGAGAGGGTGGTCAATCGGAGTCGGGGACTGCACAGCATCAGCAGCAGCAGCAGCAGCCGCAGCAGTCTTGGGGGCCGGCGGGCCCTGGGGGTGGTAGTCGTGGTGGAGGCCGTGGGGGTTGGGGCCCAGGGCTGTTGGTGCCCTGGGGGTCGTGTGGCACTTCTGTGAGTCAGGGTGCTGGTGGTTCTGGTAGTGCGGTAACCTGCACGTACCAGCTGCTGACTGGCCCACAGGCAGGCCAGGTGTGCGGGCGCGCGGGGCACACCGCCGCTCACTGCTTCCGCCGCCTGGACGACCTCTACCGTCGTCACTTCAGCCGGCAGGTGCAGGTTCCCCCTTGGACGGTCTTGCTTCGTCGTGGATTTCCTATATTTCATATGGATATGATTCAGATTGACCATGCCTTATATTCTCTGTATTCTGATGCTTCTAGTCTTCTAGTGTTGTTATTCTGTATCCTGCTGTTTGTAGCCTTGGAGCTACTACTGTCTGTAGTCTAGGATTCCCTGCTGCGTCAAGCAGAGGACCTATTAGAGACTCTTCACCGGTGTGAGAGTACGACCCCGTTACACTAATTTCCCCTTTTCATATTTCCTTTCTATTTCATTCCTCTTTTTATCCTCATTCATTTGGTCTTTATCTCATCTCATTTGGTTTCCTATTCCTCATTTTCTATTATCCTTTGGTTTATCCTGTTATTATAATTATATCACCGACCAGGCTCGGGATGTACTGGCGCGCTATATCTAGCGTAATCCTGCCGTAATCCCTTAAAACCAATAGCCTCGCGTGGCTATACGCATGGTGATTCTATTTCTAGAAGGGTCTATTCCCTTTGGATAGGATAAACCTGGTTACCTGATGTATCTTGGAAGTATAAAAGCACCTTGTATTGATTGATAGTGCAACATTGAGCAAACCTTTCCTCGGGACATTCGATCCTGTGACACTTGGTTATCAGAGCCAAGGTTTCAGCTCAACGCTTAACCGCTGGACCCCAGGAGCACGCGGAGGATGGAGTCGAAACTTCAATTCCTGTAAGTACAATGCACTTTCATTTAAGTTTCGACAATCCTCGCGCAGTTGCACCTGGGGTCCCCTTCGAAGGCGAGATGCCTCGCCGACCGTTCGATGGACAGCATCGACGGTGCCGATTTTTCGCGGAGGCAAACGGCCTCGACCTGGCGAGCGCGTCAGTTCCGGCGGAACAGCCCCTGCGACATTCGGAGAAGTTCGCAGTTCGCGACAACACTTGGAGTTGCGCGGAACTCTGCGGAGGTTCGACCGACGACATCCGTCCGATGGGGATTCGACGCTTCAGATCGACCGAGGCGAAAACGAAATCCTGCTGAGAGAGTTCGGGTTTCAGCGCGAATGGGAACGGGACCTCGCAAGCCGCGAAGTTTTTCAGAGCGTCCGATCGTTCGACAGCTGACATCGACGACCGAGAATTGCTGCAGGAAACGAGTTCACCCGGACACTGAAAGCTGCTGAACGCGACACAGGAGTATCCTCAGATCGCTTGGAGTTTGGACCGTCGGATCGACTTCTACTTCAACGGGCGAGATGGAGCGTGACTTCTGCACGAAGGGAGAATGACGCGCAGAACCAGAAATCAGCCGCCTTCGACACCGTCGACAACATCTGGACAACCAAATTCGAATTCCTTCATTTGGTAACGAATATGGCGCGCGAATCATCTACGGAGTCAGAAATACGCCAAAGTATTACCTACTTGGTAATTACTACAAGCAGAAATTTGACAGGAGAACGTGGATCGTCGGATCGGTGCGGAATCAACAGCACGAATGTAGCGGAGACTACACTATGGGAAAACATCACAATGGAGACAATATTCGTGACCAGCGACTGCACAATCGACGCATCTTCTGACTGGTGTCGATAACGATCGAGTTATTTTGACGAAGTCATCTTCGTTAAAAATGGATCGACATCAACACAGCGGATCTTCACCCAAGAAAAACTATGAAGCTGCGTGAAGACATGTTCTCCATCCATGAGACACTTCTTCATACAAATTGATCGACAAGCTATGGGATTGCAGAGAAGTAGCCGTTTTCTCTTGCAATGCTCCCAAGTTCAAGTTGCTGCGAAGGAGCAGATTTCGCACGCAACGACGACGCAGTGCACCCGTCTCGTCAAGGCCAGCGAGACACTACTTCGTAACAGGAGCTGAACGATTCGTCTTCATCAAGAATCTCAGCCATCCGAGGTGATTGATTGGAGCAGTCTCAACATCGGCCTCACGAGGCGACACACCAATTATGCGTCACGATTCCAGGTGTTAATGACCTGCGTGGAAGAAAATTCCGTGCA